CTAGCAATATAATACAGATAAAAAGTACATATAAACAGCAAAAGATGTATAAATGATGCATAAAAGTGAAGTGAACATACAAAGTGCTGATCCAATCGGATCTAATGAGGTGCTGTAAAAAGTGGAACAGGTAGAACCTGTAGCTATAAACGTGGACCCTTTTCCAAATGGAAAACCATAAGCAAACCAACCTCCCCCTGTCCACATAGGGGACTGATAGTAAATATATAAGTGACCCCTCAGGTGGTAAAGACACAACAACTGTGACCAATACAATATTAAATAGTGTAATCTCTCCCATAGATCATAATAAATGCACATGCAAAAACCTAAATGTCTAGAAGCACTATATGTCAACGCACAGGTGCACATATAGAATATAAAGTCCCAAAACGCAGAAGAGACTGCAAGCAAACACGTAGGTGCTCGTGATAGGTGATCTCCAAACTTGGTGATAGGAATCCTTAATGGCAGAAATGCCCCCTCACCTCCAAGAAGCAACCACAAGGCCAGCTCGCCTTATGACTCCCACCACGAGGCCACGTCCAGACCAAGATGTTGCACAGGATACTTGCTCACTAGTAATTTCAGGTCACACTCCCCACAGGGCCACACCGTCAAAGACATAAGCACAGAACATTCTCCATAGTGTAACACGTTTATTAAACAGCAAATAGTAAAAGTAAAATGCCCACTCACATATAAAAGTAGAAAAAAAAAAAAAATGGCATTGCCACCACTTAGTATGGGTGTACTGCATGGATCCTCAGATGGAGCCCAGCCTGGCATCCAACCGGAAGTCAGTTCCGGTGATGCACTTCTGGTTGGACGCCAGGCTGGGCTCCATCTGAGGATCCATGCAGTTCCACTTTTTACAGCACCTCATTAGATCCGATTGGATCAGCACTTTGTATGTTCACTTCTTTTTTTTGCATCATTTATACATCTTTTGCTGTTTATATGTACTTTTTATCTGTATTATATTGCTAGCACTTTACCATTTTTATCATAATATACTGCAGCTTACCGATCATTAGATGTGGGGGCTGTATTGGTTTTCTTTTCTTAGGCTTTTTCTCCTCTGTTATCACCTGGCAGTCTGGCCAGTAACACACCTCCTGTATTAGAGTGCCCCCACTCTGGATGAAGGAGCACAGGAGACACCTTTGGATAGTAGCACTGTTTGTCTGGGGGGAGGGGAGTGTTAGATGTACTAACAGATTTAAATACATTAACAAAATTGAAACCAAACTCCAGCTAACACTTTATTTACTGTGCAAACAGTTTTTTTCCTTTTGGGATAGAGGTTTACGTAAATAAATTTAAAAAAAGCTGATCATTGTAAGGACCTGTCAGTGGTAAATGGTTTGTCTCATCCCTTTAATGGCAAGAGATTGTTCTGTTGGATCACCATATCAAAATAGAAGAAAGCCTAAAAAAGAAAACTTATGCTGCAATCACGTCTAAGAATTGGTAAGCTGCAATATAATAAATGTTTGCTTTTGGGTTTAAATTCCACTTTGTTTATGTACTCTAAAAGCAACCGATTTAGTGAATAGCTTAGGGCCAGTTCACACCACAAGCAGTTCAGTGCGTTTTTGTTTTTTTTGCATCAAAAATGCATTAATAGTAGGTTACAGGATTTCCAGTGGCATAGTTCACACTAGTGTGGTCAGTTACAGTGTGTTCCAGAAAAAAAAAAAAACTAGAACATGCTGTATTTTTCTACACTGAACTGTACTGGAATGCAGTAAAACACATAACAAAATGTACTAGAACGCACATGTCCTTATTTAAGTTGAAGAAAAAGAGAAAAAATAAACCGGAACGTATCAAGAGAATACAGAGTGCATAAAGAAATGAATCCGGACTGCGTTTCTATGGTGTGAACCAACAGCTTAAACCAACAGCTTCAGTTCATGTGTTTATTCTGCAGAAAATGTATTCTATACACACACCAATCTCACGTCACACTTGTTTCGCTATGCTGTTGCATACATATGCTGTTCTTGGGAATGAGCCCAAAGTATTGGATAAAACCTCTGACCAGTTTTTTTTTTTGTTTGCTGTCAGTGTCCCATTGGTAAGATTTTATTTGTTGTGTTGAGACACTTAAGTGAGAGATTATTTCTCCAAAGTAAGGTGCAGTGCATTCATAAAGTATTCAGACCCCCTTCGCTTTTTTTCAATTGTGTTATGTTGCAGCCTGATGGTACAGTTTAAATTATTATTTTTTCCTCATTAATCTACACTCAGTATCTCATGACAAAGTGAAAAAACTGAATTTTAAAAATGTTTGCAAATGTATGAAAAAAGGAAAAACTGAAATATCACATTGGCGTAAGTATTCAGAGCCTTTGCAACAACACTTGAAATGTAGCCCCGGTGCCTTCCGTTTATCTTGTTCATTGCCAAGAGGTTTCTACATCTTGATTAGAGTCCACCTGTGGTAAATTTCCTTCAGAGCTCTGCACTGCAGGTTCCCAAGAGCACAGTGGCCTCCATAATCCTCAAATAGAGGAATCTGGCACAGCCAGGACTCTTCCAAGAGGTGGACACCAGCTAAATTGAGCAAGTGGCCAAGAATCCAATAGTCACTCGAGATCCTGTGTGGAGATGAGACAGTTCCCAGAATGACAGCTAAAACTGCAGCCCTCCACTGATCTGGGCTTTATGGTAGAGTGGCTAGATGGAAGCCTTTCCTCACTGCGAACACATTAACCTACCTGGAGGTATTCCCGAGTGTAGCTCGGGGTAACGTTTCAGCACAAGCGGTAACCCCGAGCTACACTCGGGAATACCTTGCAACGTTGCTCCAGGATCTGTTCTTCACTTACCTTGTCCTGTGCTCCCGCAATGTCCCTCCTGCAGTGTCCCCGGCAATGTCTTCCGGGTTCCGTTCCCTGGGACGTACGGGGACGGAACTGGCGGGAAATTTGAAAATTGTAAAAGTGACATTCACTAAAATCACATAGTATTCCATTACTGTATCAAACCATTTCACATACATTTTGTCCCTAGTGCTTTGTCCTGTGCCCTGCCTGCATTTTTACCTGGAAACTGAGAAAAGTCCATGGCATCCAAAAAGTGTCCCTTTACGTCAAAAGCGGTTTTAGACCAGCTAGAAAACAGCGATAGTAAATCAGAACCACTTGCAGAATTGAGTGATAATAATTTGTGGGGGAAATTCGTCAGACACTGAAAACGATTTTGTGACTTTGCTCAGCAATGTGCGAATTTGCCTCTGTATTTCAAATTTCAGTGTTTTTGGTTTGATTATATTATTGAATTAAATTTATTATATTATTTTTTAGGATTATTTATTAAATTATAATCTATGATTTCGGGTTTCAAGTTTTATCATATCCGGAATGTTTACTAGACTCTTGCTCGTACGGATTTCAGTGAGTTATTCCTAAAAATTACAGCCTACAATAAAAAACTACATATTTCCATGCAAAAAATGGTACCACTTTCAGCACAAAAAAAAAATCTGAAAGAATCATACCGCCGAGGAGGTTAAAGGATTAAATATAATGAAATATGCATATAGTGTAGAGCTACACAATTTTTTTTAATATAATTTTTGCCCTACCCTGACTGCTCAGCCACCAACCTGCCCCTAGCCTGTGGCTGGATAATGAATGAGTTGCAGACACATAAGGCCATCCCTCTGCTCTCCTCCAGCAAACATGCTGAAATTGTTAACTGATAACAGCTAGCATAGTGCTGTATTTATGCCTGGATTTGGAATTTTAAATAGTCTTACATATGCGTAATAATTTTCTTGTATATCAGAAAAATATGCCCCCTCCCAGCAACCCTTTAACTACTTGCTAACCACGCTATAGCCAAATGGTGGCTACAGTGCGGTTATCCAGTTCTGGTAGGGCGTTCTATGACATCCTCCCAGAATGCGGCCTCCCACACGCCCCAGCGGCGTGCACCCAGCAATCTGTGTCCTACGGATACAGCTGATCACATGATGAGGTAAAAAGGCCAATCACAGCAGCCTTTTACCAAGTGATCAGCTGTGTCCAATGACCCAGCAGATCACGGAGTAAATACAGTTGCTGGTTACCGGCAGCACTTTCAGCATGAGGAAAGTACTGCCGATAACCAGCAGCTGTCACAGAGCGGATCGGCACCGATTATCATGACACTGATGATCAGTGCCCTCAGTCAGTGCTGCCAGTCAGCCACCCATCATTGCTGCACATCAGTGCCTCCTCATCAATGCTCACCAGTGCAGCCTCATCAACGCACATCAGTGAAGGAGAAAAATTACAGTTTTGCAAAATTTTATAATAAAAAAAAAAAAAAAACACAAAGAAAAATGTTTTCCAATTTTTTGCTTTTTTTTGTTTATAGTGCAAAAAAATAAAAAACCCAGTGGCGATTAAAGGGCACCAAAAAAAGTTCTATTTGTGTAAAAAAAAAAATTATAAATATTTCATATGGGTACAGTGTTGCATGACTGCGCAATTGTCATTCAAAGTGCAACAGCACTGAAAGCTGAAAATTGTCCTGGGCACGAAAGGGGTATAAGTGCACGGTAGGCAAATGGTTAAGTGGCCTTTAATGGCCACGAGGTTATGTGGGCTTCTCTATCATGTGCCCACTGCAACTTGCTCTCATAGTGGTCACATGGCCAAGAACCCATCCTTCTGGATCCCGATCAGAAACCATGACAGTGCTGTTGATGACAGCTCAGTGTGCAGAGATCACCCAGTAAGTGCACTCTTAGCACACATCTTCAGGTTGCCATAGACACATGTGTAGTAGTGTGAAGGCCCGCTATATGTATCACGCAGCCAGCAAGTGGCTGAAAAGCGCAGATTCTCACTGGAAGCAGTTTTCTTACAATAGGTTAGAATTGCACAGTTTTAGGTTTGGCAGTCACACAATGTTTACTCAAATACCATTTGAAAACCAGATAAAAAACAACATTTTAATTTAAAACTGTACAAAAAAGAGAAGATAATATTTTCTTTAACAACTTAGGCGTCAGCCTCTTCATCCTCACGCTGCAGTTGCTCTATCAGACGCTGACGTTCTGCTGCCTGTCTCATCTTCATTAACACTAAACTTTCAAAGTCTCTCTCTGATCGTACAGAATTCTGAAAAGAAATTAAATTATTCAATAAAATGGCATATGTTCTCATAAAAACTAAATCACTGGCAAAAAATGCATCAAATAAAAGTCAAGTGGAGGATGGTTTCCATGGCAACCTACCAGCTGCTTACTTTCATGTTCAGTTAACCCTAAAAATGGTAACTAGAATACAATGGGTAACTTTGGGCAGCACCTCCACTTTCTAAAGTGTTACATATAATCCAATGTAGTTTTGTGAGTGTATAGAGAGACACACACAGGGGTTGATTTACTAAACCTGAACAGTGCAAAATGTGGTGCAGCACTGCATAGAAACCAATCAGCTTCCAGGTTTTCTTGTCAAACCTTAATTGAACAAGGTAAAGCTAGAAGCTGATTGGCTACCATGCACAGCTGCACTGGTTTTAGCAAACTCCAGTTTTAGTAAATTAACCGCATAATGCACCACATTTTGTGCTTTTGCACTGACAAAAAAATTACTTTGGCATCACATCTGTCATCCAATTAGGAATTTATAGAACTTAACCCGAAAAAAAAAAGCTGGGACGTACTCTAAAAGGCTATTCCTCTCTTACCAAGAATGAAAAGAAATGAGTCACTTATGTTTTGTTCAATAAAGCAGACTATTGTAAATGCTTGGAAAACTAGGACATTAAATTATCTTAATGCGGTAAGAACTGGTACCGAGATAAATGAAATAACGACAGTCATTCAAGATACAATTGATACATATATTAAACTGTGATCCACTTGGATGTCTTAGATAGGTCCAGTGGTTAATGACAGTCCCCCTATAGATTTGCAAGCAGGGAGGAGGGGAGTCTCTCTTTCTATAACCATTTTCCCTACCATCCTCTTCAGGCCCACCACTTTTTCAGTCTCTCTCCCCTTTCTTTTAGAATGTCACATTTTCTGCATAATTATTCTCTTCCAGTTCCCAAATGTGTAGATCTACTAAAAAAAAAAAAAGATAAGCTTGTCCACTTTACAAAGAAAATGGACAATGGACTCTTGTTACAGAGCTAGGCAGCAGAATTTGTGGAGAAATCAGAAATGAAAGCCAAGGGGGAAGGGGGGGGGGTGGGGGGGGGTTGTTGGTTGGGTGGTGAGTGTGGTAAGTAAAACTTGGGGGGGGGGGGGGGAACCAGTGGAGAGAAGGTAGCATGAAAAGATATCATATAGGAACAGAGTCATTTTTATAACAGATCATACGCAAAAGGGAAAATGAACCAAGCAGCACGGATAACAGGAAGCTGGTGCATGCGCTCTGAGGTATGCCCGTACAGATTGAATGTGTGCCATCATCCTCCAAAAACTTCAACAGACTCATCTTCGATTACTATATACTTGTAATTTACGGTACTCTTTCGGCCTCAATAAAGTCATTTTAGTGGAACACTCTCTGCTCTGTAAAAAGGTAATGAGTGCTGCTTATATTCACCTTGTTAAACCTTGTGATTAAAAAAAAAAAAAAAAAAAGTTCAGTTAAACTGGCCATACAAATGCAAATTTCAGCTATCTCCTGATTAGGTGGCCCTGTTAAAAAGACAAAAACTACCAAAGAGCTGGGCAGAAAATTGTTGGCCAAATAGCAGTTATCCAATCAGCTACTGTTTGGCTATTTTGACAGCTGACTGGGATGGCTGTCAAAAATCAAAATAGGCAGGCACAGCAGGACATTCAATCAGCTGTGCTGCATAGCCTGTGTATGGCCAGCCTAAAGCCTCGTACATATGGCCCAGGGGGTTTCGGTGGGAAGGGTGTCAGAGCACAATAGCACAGTGGGGAGATCGCTGTACTAACATTGCATAGTACAGAGAACTCCTTGTGAGCTCTTCCGTTTTTTTTTTTTCTGTTCAGCCCACTGGGTTGAAAGATAAAAAAAAAAAAAAAAAAACTCCTCCCATATGGCCAGTAACTGTAAGCTAGACACTGCAAATGTATCGGTCTAGCAGGAGGTAGACGCGGTTAACCTTTAAGCCCCAGTTCACAGGATATCTTGCATGTCAACCACATAGGAACCACACAGCATTCCTGTGCAGTTCACATTCGATTTTGTTTGGTGCGTTTTGAGCCCATTCAAAATAGCACTGCATGGCATCAAAGAAGTGCAGGCACCTTTTCTTGGAGCTGCACTGCAACCACATCGTATGGTCGTTTTGCACCATGCAATCTGGTGCAAGCAAACCGCACTGCGATTGTGATGCTTTTGGGTGTTAAAGGATAAGTTTACCCTTTGGACAAAAATAATAAATGCACATTTTTTTTGCAGGTAAAATTATTTTTGTCCAAAAGGAGCCTGGAAAGCATTACACTAGCGATCAGCAGTTTGCTGATGCCATGCAGGTCTCCTGCAGACCTGTCAGAATATTTGCTTGCCGTACAGGATGTACGAGCAAGCAGGTATATGGAGAGGAAGCGTCAATGAACTACCAGAGAGCTCCACAGCACTGTGGTAGTTCATTGAAAACTACAAGCCCACAGCTGTTAAGGCTGTTGGGAGTTGTAGGCACTCATTCATAGATTGGCACAGCTGTGGCTATGGGAACATGTTACATGATCCACTCTAAAAATGGGTGGAACATGTAACATGTTCCAAAGGTGAACTTCTCCTTTAACTTTGCATTGACACCCGCAGCAAACAGTAAATATAGTGAGACTGCAATGCAGGGATCGCTGCAATTCCCGCACCGAATATATGTGTGAAACTAAGCTTAGTTGAAAGCAGAAAAACTGGTCCCTTTTTCTTCAGAACACAGCAGCTCTGCTTTAGCTTCACATGGTTTCTCTTCCTTCTGTGATCAAAAATTATTTACTTACCTCATACTATGAAGTCTTGACTAATTGCGGCTGAAAGTAGCCAAACTTTGGTTTTCACCATAAAAGATTAAAACATGAAATGTTTCAGTCTAAGCCAGACATCACTAAATGGTGGACCACAGTCCGGATCCGGACTGAGCCACTGTCCCGTTCAGTCGCACCATTTAGGAGCCGCTTCTATCCCCCAGCCTCTGTCATTCTCAGTGCAAAGATCTGGAGAAAGGATAGTAATGAACTGAGTACGGGAAACACAGCTCAGCATTGCATGGAGGCCGGGAGCAGGAGCTGTTGGCGGTTAACTTTTCATATTAGCCAGCAAGTGATTGGTTGCTAGGGCCACCCTGTGTCCTAGCAACCAATCGCTTTTTGTTCAGTATGGAAAGTTAACTCTTGAGGGTTTTATCTGAAGGGAGGCAGTGCGGTGTGATTTGGACCTCCATAAATTTGAATTCAATACTCCTGGTCTAGGCTTTAGTAAGAAAATCCTCAGATAACGAAACGTGTCCAGGTTACCTGTGATGAATGAGTGGTAGAACCTGAGGAGGTCTTGCTCTGATTATCAGACACTGCAGAAGGAGGTGGTGTGCTGAGCCAAGAAATTTTGAGAGGGTTATTCAATAAGCCAATCTCATTCCTCACTGCAAGGTCCTATGAGACATAACACAAGAATTGACTGATAAGATGTCAACATTACAAAAACAGAAGTAGATAACAAAAACAACAACACTCAGCAAGCAGCTCTCAAAGGCTTTTTCAAACAAGGAGATTTATATGCATCTGTAAAATGTCTGCGTGAATAAATCCTCAGCATGTCATAATATACTACACATCAACAGTATAATTAAAGTGATTCTAAAGGTTTAAAGTGGTTGTAAAGGTTGAAGGTTTTTTACCTTCATGCATTCTATTCATGAAGGTAAAAAATCATCTTGTGTGCTGCAGTGCCCCCAGCCCCCTAAATACTTATCTGAGCCTCACTGCGATCCAGCGATGCGCATGAGAGCCTCGTCTGTCCCGGTCTCTTGACTGAGATAGCAAGCGGGAGCCATTGGCTCCCACTGCTGTCAATCACGGCCAGTCAGCTGATGAGGAGGGGGGGCAGGGCCAAGCAGCAACTTTGTGTGTTAATGGACACACGGAGCAGCGGTGCCCCCATAGCAAGCTGCTTGCTATAGCTCACCCGACAGGAAGGAGGGGCCAGGAGGGCCTGCAGGGGACCCAAGAAGAGGAGGATCCAGGCTGCTCTGTACAAAACCACTGCACAGAGCAGGTACGTATAACATGTTTTTTATTTTCCAAAAAGAAGGCATTGCTTTAAACAAACAAAAAAAAAATCCACATATGCCTATACCTACCTGCTGTGTGCAGTGGTTGTGCACAGAGAAGCCCAGATTGTCCGTTTCTTGGGTTCCCCACCGGCGCACCTGACCCCTCCCTCCTGTCAGGTGCCCCCACAGCAAGAAGCTTGCTATGATGCACCCGAGCATGCGTACTCCCCAGCTGCTTCTCCATGTGTCCATTCACACACGGAGCCATGGCTCGACCCTGCACCCTCTCTTCTCATTGGCTCACTGGCTGTGATTGGCTCCCACTGCTGTCTCAACCGTTGAGGAGAGGGAGTCCCAGGATAGCCAGAACTCCAGTGCACATCGCTGGATTGAGAGGGGGCCTTAAATGAGTATTAGGAGGCTGCTGCACAGAGAAGACAGCCACTTTAATGAAACCCTAAACTTCTAATCATCAAAAAAAAGAAGAAAAAGCAGTACAGTAGGATGATTTCTTTAGTCTCTCCTCACCCAATGATCACTCATTCAGGATGCACATCACAAGCTAAAAGGGAACAGGGGTGCATTCTGTCTGAAACATGAATTCACACAGATGAGACAAAGGCTACTAACAAAGTATTGTCCTGGATCCAGAAATAGTCCAGGATTCAGAAGCAGATCCTGAATAATGCATGAACATGATCAGTTCCGGCCTTCAGGAGGGAAAGCAAGATGAAGGCATTGTCAGCTGGAGTAGTCAGTGTTTCAGATGAACAAAGTGAATTTCGTTGAAGGACAGCCACCCACTGTTTTAAACACAGCAGATCTCCTATGTTCTAGGCCAGGGATGCTCAACCCCTCGTCTTAAACCAGGGAAGCGCATACCTGGAGTCGGCAACCTGTTGATCATGATATGGGTTTGCTGATCAGCCACCCCAGAGCAACAGAGTGCATCGAGTCGGCAGTGGATAAAGCAGGCGGCTGTAGAAGGAGCAGGAGCCGCAAAAGCCAATGCTTCCTCTGTAATGCCAGCTCCTGTCACATGCAGAGTGATAAGGGCACTTTGCCTGGGACATTTCTAGCATCTTGGAGAGCAATGCCCGGAGAAACTGGAAGAGGAAAGACTACAAACACATACACTTTTGCAATGGGTATATACCTGCAGCCTTCCTGAGGGTTAGCTGTGCTGAGCCATAGACTTCAAATACATCCGGTTGGTTTGGTGCGCTTTCTGGGAACTCCAGAATGCAAAAGTTAAGGTACGCTTTCAGAAAATGCACCAGAACTGCTAAGATATAACAGAAATCTATGGCAAACAGCAGATAACCCACAGAAAAGCCACAGGTGCACTGCACTGCACCACTCAGTGCTGGTAAACTACAGGGCATAAGTGTGAAATCAGCCTTATAGGGGGCTCAGGACAGTGATAGCTCACTTTCATTTGTAGTTTGGGGGAGTGGTAACCCCACAGTTGAGACGTGTTTTTAGAACCCCCCCACAACCACCACCATCATCAGGAGTTGCAATGGTGCCCCAGCTCAGCTCTATGTTCCAGGGGGCCCATGCGGCCTCCCAGTCACATTCTGTATTACACTTGGACAGGAGGGGTGGTGGAGGAAGCATATACAGGAACCGAGCCTCTCCATTTTCCTCCTGCAACTGCTGAACGCTGGCTTCTCCTCTCCCTCCTGCCAGAATTCAGTGGCTACAGGAGGAAAATGTTCATTATGCTATTCAAAATAAAAAAAAATTTAATTCTGAACCATTTCATTTCATTGTGGCCCGCAACAAGTTACCAAATCACTTAAGTGGCCTTCACTCTTCAAAAGGTTGATCACCCCCTGTCCTTGGCAAATACAAATTGCCCTGCACATATGTGCAGACAAGACTTCCATATAAAAACACGAAGTTAGATGCCTCCAAGAGGACAGCACAGATGAATTAAATGGCATCCTGCAGCTTAGAAATGAGTTGTAAAATTTGAGGGTAGTCTACAGTGGTGGAAGAATCCTTTTTAAAAGGCAGTGATGCATTGGATCATGGTTTCATAGAGTAATGTCATTACCAGAAGAGGCCGAAGAGTCACTGAAGTAGATTAAAACTGGGAACCAGATAGGGAATCTAACTCGGCATCAGTAAAGTCCCTAAAGTAAACATGAAATCACTATCCAGGGAGAAAAAAAAAAAAAAAAAAAAAAAAAAAGCCTTCACATGATCAGAAGGAGGCCATGAAAATATAGGGCTCTCTCAACCCTCACAGAAAATTTCATAAAAATTAGGGCACTGAAAAGTATTTTTGAAAGTAGAAGACACAAAATCAGATTTACTAGGTACAGTCAACTAGAGTGGACATAAGATCACAAACATAGGAGTGTACTGTTATCAACGAGCGTGTTGCTCGAAACATGTTAGGGGATCCACCCAATCGACACCACTTACCTATAAGGAGCCACTAACCACCAGGGAACCTATGAATTAGGCCTGGAGGCGGTTTTATGCCCATATGTGAGTTTTTTTTACTGTTTACTTTGGATCTTATTGGAATAAAGACGTATTTCACTATCAATGCTATTTTGCCCCCTGGCTCGTTATTTACGAGCCTTGTAAGGTGAAGCTTTTCAGGAAGAGTAACACTAGGAGTTCGAACTTCACTGGACCTACCAGGGAGACTGAGGTGACCCCCGAGTGAGATTCAACATCCCCGAATATCTACCATGGTGACCGGATGCTGCCTAAACTGCTGACAGAGCCCTGATGTCCACCGATGATGCACCTAATGACATACATACAACGCTCAGTTTGTATGTTCCTGTGGTAAGCGCATAATTACACTAGATTTTTCGAAAACGTAAACTGGATTTGGAACTCACCGAGCATCAATTGCTTCTGTTATCACTTTGTGTATTTATATATTTTCTCATATATATCAGTTGCATCACCTTATGAATTTATCACTATATTTGGTGATTGACTGGTTATTGGAGTCTCATCATAGGGACTATAATATGTTGATCTCGTGATATGTAGTTGGTCTATGCATCATAAGATTATTTGCCATATCGTCCTATAGCACTGCATACCCTACCAATATATATATTTTTTTACTTTAGGTGTTGAGGATTGCCTTGTATGCTAGCTGCTCGCTCTGTGGTTTGCGCTCACTTACCCCTCTTTTTATTTACTAGATGTAGTAGTTTTTGTTGTGGTGTGTATTCATTTTTGCATCAACTAATTTGAGTAAAAACTGAAGATTTTGTAATCCAACTTATTTTATGAACCTTACTTTCATGTACTGAGCTAAACAAATGTTCTCTAAAACTCAGTTTTGTCAAAAATGTAGAAATTGTTCTTGTGTTCATTTAGATATTGATTAAAATCTTACTATTCAAAAAAAAAAAAAAAAAAAAAAAAAAAAAAAAGAGTGTACTCATTTATGCTGAGCAATGTACATATACATGTAAAGTATCAGACTGGGATACACTCAAGGTAGGACCAGGAAAACACATTTATGTTCACTTTCATGAAATTCACCTAGTAACATTCGGTTTGGCTGGTATTCGCACAGAACATACAAACATGCACCTAAGCATGTACAAAAATTTTTTTTAGAAGTACTTGTGTGGGGAGTGCCACATGCAGAGCCCAGAGGTGACATTCCAGTTGATCTGGAATCATTCCTGATCTGGTGACATTCCAGTTAATCTTTGCCCCATCCATAGGCCTGTTCACAGGTTCTACTGCATCCTGGACACTAAATTGAGCTGAGGAGCATAGCTAATACATACCTCTTTGTAACAAGAGATACAATGTAACAATTCTAGAGAACTCTATAGAGAATTGGCAAATAAATGTAACTATAGTTGCATATAGCCAGAGCAATTTCTACTCTTTAATGTGTATCTTTAGTAGGTCTGAAGATTAAAGTAAATGGAAAGGCATTTACTACCAAACAGCTCAAGTGCTGCTGATAAACCGGTATATCGTTAACATTCTCCCATCTCCATTTTTTAAAAAAACTGCGAATGAAAGTATATTTTTATTTACATGGGATAGAGGACAGGCTTCCCCTGACTGCACATGTGCTGTATTTGTGCCTAAGCTCTGAGAGCAGTCTCCTTAGTGACAATATAGCGTATGTTCAGTAAGAGAAGCCTCCAGCCTACCGTCTATGTGCAGTGAGAAGGGTCTGATGTCAAAAGATGATACTCATACTAAAGGAGGCAAAGCTTCTGGATACAAACAACGGTTGTTGTGGGTTGGGGTGGGGCATGTGTTATGGACTTGGGGCAACAGCAAGGTCAAAAGTGAATAATGAATCCCTGATCTAAGGATATGAAAATAGAAGATATTGTTAAAGAATGAAGTTTAGGGGAACCTTGCACAAGACACTCTCAATGTTTGGCTGGAGTAACACTTTAATTTTCAATATAGGATAGCCAATCATCTGCAACAAAATACATTGAAAAATTCTAAAAATGTGAAAAGACTTTCACAAAAAAAAAAAAAAAAAACCCAACTTACAGCTGCTTTAAATGTAGCAAATTCAGCTACTGCAGATCCCTTGCTCTTGCTGGATACCACAATATGTAATACTTGTCCATACTACAAAATAAAATAGAAGAGTTTAAAACAAGAATAGATGAAAATACATTTCTATTATATTAAGCAACTCTACATTGAGATGCTATATGAAGGCTCACGTTTTTTCCAGATGGATCCTATATTGATAATGAAGCATACATCTAATCCTTTATTCACTTTGCATTTCCACATCACAAAAAAAAAAAAAAAAAAAAACTTACATGCATGTATATGTGCATACCTGTGGTAGGATGAGACACACAGTGCATTGTATACTTGATAAAACCAGCATTTGCCATTCACAGTGAAGGTGTTTGATGCCACATTCACTCAAATTTTAAAGTTAAATAAATGTACTTTTTATTGTATAAAAGTGGAACTAATGTCCACAAACAATTCCCCTTCTAGAATGCCATTTCTGCAAGGTCCCTTGCCGGCTTCTTCCAGGTGGCAGGTCTTCAGTTAACTTGATATGCTATACGTGTGCAGGAGTTCAATCACCCTGGTACCAAGGCACCATGTCCAGAATGTACCCTTAGCTGCGCAGGCACAATTCAGTGTACATTCTAAAGAAGACTGCGAACAGGCAATGTAGGTTAATTTTATTGCATAACATGTCTTTTCTGCAATAAAGAACCTGTACACAATTTTAGCTTTCCTATAGTTCTGCTTTAAATCACAAACTGTTCAATGTTGCTTCACGGATGTGCAGAACCCCCCCACATGCCTCACCCAAAAAATTGGTCCTGCGTGCCCCCTGAAACTTGCAGGCCTTATCGTGCGAATAAAAAAAAAAAAAAAAAAAAAACACAAGTTAAATTAAGGCACACAAATGCAATATTACCCTTTACCCAATTTTCTGGTGAAATATAAAAGATGAGAATGTACCGAGTAAATAGATACCAAACATGTCAAATCTTAAACGTGTGTGCCTGTGCAATGGCGAACATTTTCAGTACCCTATTTTTTTTTTGGGCAACAGTTTAAAAGTTCCTCTATAGGTCATGAGTTTAGCGCTGTGGAGGTGGTCTGGTGCTAAAATTATTGCTCTCAGTCTGACGTGCATGGCAATCTGTAACATGAGTTGCAATCAACATTTTCATATATAGGCCCCCCCGACATGTGCGTTGTGTTTGTACAAACTTATGTGGGGGGACCTCAAGATCTTTTGGGGCAATGGGGGGGGGGGGATTTTATGTGCTTGGGTGTAAAAATTTACTATTTAACTTCCCCCCCCCCCCCCCCCCCCAGAGGACATCCAGGATTTAAAAGACCCTGCATTCCTCCTCTGTGTAATGAAATGCAAAGGTTGCTATTGCAAATCTATATTATGTCAGTGCACAGGTGCAGGCAGAAGAATGGCATTACAGCTGCGCTGTAGACATTGTAGGTTCTGAAACTGTTGGAGCAGATATGCAGAGACACACACACACACACACACACCTCTATGGGGGAAGATGGAGGGACCAAAAAAACTAGACATTGTGGTTCAAAAGTTACCGTATATCTGAAGCCCTGACCATAATAAATGAAGTATCAAAAAAATACATTAAAACGCACACACACTTTGCAGGAAGACCAAGAATACAATAGTATACATGAGTGAGCAAACCTTCTCTAGAAGCCTTATCAGAACATCTTCTGAATATCCCCCTTTTGTCTCATCTTCTTTTTTACATTTCCACTTTAACTGTTGATGATAAAAGAAAAAAAACATGGCTTAAGTAACCAATTTCTTTTGTAAAGTGGTAATTTATTTTAACACCATGTGGTAAGTGCAGTGCAAACACTTTGTGACCAAAATATGGCTTTTTAAGTCCAAATGTAAAATGCTCCTTGGCATGAGAATTTTACATAAAGAAGCTTCACCATAAAAATGGTTTGCTCATCCTATTTGCCAAGGTGATAAATGCTTTGTTTAATTTTTATAGGCGTGGTGTATTCATAGCTAGAGTTGACAGTGCACCTCCCCCCACACTGTTGTCTGACCAAGCTGCTTACAAAGTGGTGAATAACTAATTAGTGCTGATAGACAGCACTTGTCCCTGCACTAGGTGATTTGTCCAAGACCAGTGCTGTCAGAACACAAGCAAAAGGATGTCAGAGAGACTACCTGGAAAACACCCACAGGAAAGCCCACAGCAGAGGGGGCAAAAGCAAGTTACACTGTCAACAGTAATGCAGGAAGAGGACGGGTCAGCACTCAACTGTTTCCTAAAACAAATGCAGTCTACAGGGGGCATTAGATACTTGAGCTCTGCCCGAGTCCAGCAGTAGAAACACCCACAATTTAGACTTCTGGCAGTGGAGGAGCTGGCAGGCGGCAATGGGAGAAAGAAAGAAAAGGTTTTCTATACAATCATTTAGCGTTTCTTTGGAAGATCAAGTCACAGTAGGTGTTTCTACTATACTCTGTTGACCAGCATTACAGTTTTCAATGTTCATGAGATTTCTGTGTGTGTTCCTCCTTTTCAGACCTGCTGCCTAACAGAAGAATTTATACCATGATTGTCAAGTTATTTGACGCATAATGATATTGCCACACTTGGTCTCGTCATCTAAGCTTTAAAAAAAGAAAAAAAAAATTCTGTTATGCAAGGCTATTGACAGACTGTAAATAAAAGTACTCTTCACCTTTCTTTCTAAATTAAACAGCTGTTATTGGAGCTATTGTACTATATTATGGTACAAATATTGTCTATTTTCTGTAAAAACACTATAGAGGAACCTTTCTACACCACTGGCCACCACATGCAAGGGCCACCAAGGCCCCTTCTTTAATAAAAGCAAGGGAGCCCTTCTTCACCTGCTGCCAATGAAAGGGGGAGCCCTCTTCTACACTGGCCGCCAATGTAAGGGCTCATTTCTTTGTGTGCGAATATTTGAGACATCTTTACAGCAAATTTTATGAATAGATGCCTATAACACATTGGAGGAAATTAAAGAGTTACAAAAAAAGAGTCTTAAAAAAGTTCTAACTCAACTGGTGCCCAGAGCAACAAATCTGCCATCTTTTATCTATCTTTTCACACATCTTAGATAATAAATACTTAAAAGTTGACTGGCTGCCCTCAAGAGAAGACAAAGTGTACCAAAGTTTGTGTAACACAATTCCACCATAATCTTGTGTAACCATGCGCTAGCAGAGAGGAGAGAGCACAGTGACATCTTCTGGAAGAGAAGCATATTCGCAAACAAACTTTCAGTAATTATGATTTACTGTCACGGTGATCACATGATTGGGAACCATGCTGACTGGTTCTAGTTGTTGGGTATGGACAGCGTCTGAGAACTAGAGCATGCACAGGTGCAGATTGCTAGTTATCAGCTGAAATATTCAGAACGTTCTCATGGCACAGGGACCTGTGCCTAACTTTATGAGAACCAGTCACACCAATACAGTAATCAAAGCTAAAATTATGCACTGATCACTGTACTAATGACACTGGTTGAAAAGGGGTTAACATCTAGGGCAATCAAAGGGTTAAATGTGGGCCTAGCTATGTACTTGGTGTACACTAGGTGGTCAATCAAAAACTCCTAAGTAGCCACAAAAACACTACTTCCTCCCTAGGAAGTGAATGATCAATTTTGTTACTTTTTGTGATAAACTTCTAAATATACCCAATCTCAAAAATTACACATTATCCAATAAACCCACATAATCCAATAAAGTGATAATCAAATCTAAATCTAGAATAATAAACCACCCAAACAATATATAATCAGAAATAATCAACCAATGAAAATGAAAAATAAAAATGAAATAAATGTTCAAGTCCCCAAAAAAAGTTCTTTTATGTGTTCAGTGAAGCAAAACGATTCCAAAAACTCCTTGATATCCTCAAAGAAAAAATCATAGTGTAATACCCTAAATATAAGTAAAATACACTTCACTCTGTGCAAATTCAAATCACATCAAAAAAAACAGTGAGAAATCAATGTAAAAATAAAACGTGAGAAATCGTGATCACTTCAATCACAAGTGAATAGTGATACTAGGTACCAGTACCCTTATTACTCCAGCCAAAATTGATGCTAAATACCATTACCCTCTTATGATATATTCAGGCATATACTGTTACACAGGAAAAGTATTTCTCCATCTTTCTTATCCCGGGGTGTTCCTCATATAGACAAAGAAAGGCTCTTTCAGGCAGATTCCATAAAAAGGTACAAATTTTAATCCACACTTACATGTAAACAAACGATATCCAGCTCTTAGCACTGAACATTTCAATCTCAGGTTGAAAACCAATTGTTTCCAACCGACAAAATGGCCGCGGCGACACTTCCGGTTAGCGTGCGTGCGTGATGACGTCACTCCCCTAACGCGTTTCGTCACTTCCGGACTTCAGTTCAGATGAAGTCCGGAAGTGACGAAACGCGTTAGAGGAGTGACTTCATCACGCACGCACGCTAACCGGAAGTGTCGCCGCGGCCATTTTGTCGGTTGGAAACAATTGGTTTTCAACCTGAGATTGAAATGTTCAGTGCTAAGAGCTGGATATCGTTTGTTTTACATGTAAGTGTGGATTAAAATTTGTACCTTTTTATGGAATCTGCCTGAAAGAGCCTTTCTTTGTCTATATGAGGAACACCCCGGGATAAGAAAGATGGAGAAATACTTTTCCTGTGTAACAGTATATGCCTGAATATATCATAAGAGGGTAATGGTATTTAGCATCAATTTTGGCTGGAGTAATAAGGGTACTGGTACCTAGTATCACTATTCACTTGTGATTGAAGTGATCACGATTTCTCACGTTTATTTTTACATTGATTTCTCACTGTTTTTTTTGATGTGATTTGAATTTGCACAGAGTGAAGTGTATTTTACTTATATTTAGGGTATTACACTATGATTTTTTCTTTTTCTTTGAGGATATCAAGGAGTTTTTGGAATCGTTTTGCTTCACTGAACACATAAAAGAACTTTTTTTGGGGACTTGAACATTTATTTCATTTTTATTTTTCATTTTCATTGGTTGATTATTTCTGATTATATATTGTTTGGGCGGTTTATTATTCTAGATTTAGATTTGATTATCACTTTATTGGATTATGTACACTAGGTGGTGCTTATACTAGGGGAAGTGAAGGATAGTGTTTCCAGCTTTGCAGGGATACACAATCCTTCACTCCCCCTCCCCCTGCCAGGACAGAGCTCTGCCTTGTTTACGTAGGAAGAGCACTGTTCTTCTCCTGCCTGACGATTGGTGGGTGCTGGCAAAAATTCGTTCACTGGGACTTGCAGATTGGCTTCTCCTGTGAGTGTTCACAGCAGAAGTGAGCCGCCGCCAGTGCGTACATGCCCCCTATGGTGGAAATGCACATTAACACATTATATATATTTTGTGTTTCTGTATATTAGGCTATCATGGTAGGATGGAAAAGCTAAGCTCTAGCTAGCCTATGACTGTCAGACACGTTTAACTCCATGTAAAATAGTGATATATACCAGTTGAAATATACAGTATATTGGACTGTGTATGTGAATGGTTCGAACTGTTCAAATATTTGCAGCTCTGTTCAGACAAATCTTCACCAAGCTGCACAGCCAGGATGACACCATTGTTCAATTGTTGGAGCTCCACAATACTTATTGTATATCACTTACCTGCCTCTGAACTATAAAATCACACATTGCTAAAGGTTCTCCCTATGCTCTCCTCCTGTAATCTGCATGCCCCCCATTCCCTCCCACACTAAAATGTGTAATCTTAAAGACTGACCCTAGTTGGTTCCCAGTGCTTGGCTTCCCACTACGGATTTCTGCTGTTTTACGAGATTTCAGGGAGGGTATACATAAAATCAGTAAGCTATACTAGTGGTATATTTAAATATTTTGAGTCTTTTAAAAATACAATTAGAGTGGACCACAGCTCTTTGCATGTTTGCCTTGAGCCCCCCCTCTTGGGGCTATTTCACACACTTGGCAGAGTCTGCCCGCTCAGTGGGGGATCTGTCCTCTGATCCCAGCTGAGCAGGCGGCTGACTGGTCTGTGTCTGCTCCACTTGTGCAGAGTGGACACGGACACAGCCCACTGTTCTCTATTAGGAGGTTGGATGTAAATAGATCATGGATCCCCATCTGTCCATTTTTTCAGCAGATCAGATGCAGGTGGGTGTAAATGGACATATGTCCATTTACATCTGCCTCACAATAGACGACAATGCATGGTCCGATCAGGTCCACCTGAATAACGGACAGGCAGACCCAAATAAGTCCACCTGTGTGAAAGGGCCCTTATAGGTAACTAAACTAAATTACCATTTACTTTATGTAAAACATGCTTTGTAAACATATTGTTTTAGCTTTGCAATTCCCCCCCCCAGTATAAAATGGTCCCAAAATATACTTTTTTAAACAAACACATTAGTAGGAAAGAAAAGGATTTAGTTACCTTTATTTTTGCAGGTCCTTTTTCCCACTCTGTGTTTCCTCCCCTGCTACCTAAAAGGAAAAATTTTTTTTTTTTTCCAATTAAAAGGGTGAGTTCAAATTGTTAAAAATTTCCACCAAACCCACCTCCCTGCCACAGTGAAATACAATACAGTGAAACTGTGGAACTCCTTGCAGGTCTTTCCTTAGGTACTCCCACGCTATCTGAAGCTAGAGAAAATCTAGTGCCAGGCTTCCCATGCACCAACATCCCACAATTGCTCCTGCCAACACATCCCACTCAAGTCTAGGGTATTAGTGCACTGGCAAGGGCAGCCCAGCACTAGATTTGAACCAGCCAGACTACAGACAGAGCAGGTGGCTACAGCCATCAGAGAAGGCAAGGAAGGACTTATGCACTTTTATTTTGGGGGGTTACTTACTTTCTACTGTACCAGTGCCTGATGTTTAATACCTTGCATCTTTTGTTCCCTTTCCGTCGTAATCTGTTCAAGTATCAACCTCTTCTGCTCCTCCAGCTGTCTAGATCCTTCTTCACGAAGACGTATTATCTGAAGATAGAAAGAGGTCACCGAGCAGATACTGCAAACATATTGCCAGTGCCATTTCAGCATTTTCCTTGCTATGTAGAAGTTAAGCAAACATGGGTTAAACCTTTTTTCTTTATATAAGATAACTCCAGGCAGCTTTCAATAGGTAAACATGTGTAGGGGATCTTGCAACACCATCTGCTGCCTGTAAATGAGGGCATGAATTATTTAACTTACTAAGAAATGTATTTTGTTAGTCTTTAACATAATAAAAATGATCCAGAAATTGCACCATGAATTACCACTAGGATGTCAGAAAAGAATAAACTGTGTGAGCTTCATGGACCTTACACAAGACTATGGACACCTTCTTCATCCTCATGTCAAGGCCCCAGCACTGTTACTTGGGAGGGGGAGAAGTCATGCTCACAATAACCTGGACGTGGATTGAGGAAAGGTGAGAACATGTTGCTCAGGATGGGGGTGGGGTAACTGAAGAGGCATAAGAGTAGCTTTAAGAAAGTTGTTGTACTTGAGTGTAAAAACCAATGTCACTTCCCAAGGCTAGGGTACCTACTGCAAACAATCCCCATATGTATGAGCTTTGCATTCCAGACAAGGTTTACCTCTTGTTCCAATGTTTGAGCAACAAGTACTTCTTCCTCCTCTGTTACTCTCGCTTGTGCCTCTCTTTCTCGTGCCTCCAGATCTTAAACAAAGAAAACAGAATTTTCCATCAGGTCTGCTATGTAAAGCACATAGTAGAGTAAATACTAAACAAACACTACAAAAAGGAAATTACTTATACAACCAAAGATACTAAAAGATTGAGATGCAGTTTGCTCTGCAAATATTCCAGCTGTTCGGACAAGTGCAGACCTGTATGTGGAGTGGGCTGCAATAATTAGGAGGACCCACTGGGCACAGGCTGGCTACAGCCAGATTGCTTTTTGTGGCACTTAAGCTGTGACCCACATTACGTTTTTTTTTTTTTGGAAACTGGCTTCCCTGGACTAAATGTGTTGGTTCCCAGGAGATTTTAGTAACCAAGCTGACCTGGTCCTGGCCTAGATTTGTCCAGCTCTGTCGAAGGAGATTTTTGTGGCAGCTGGCTAGTTGTAGATTGCAGACAAGGTCAACCTAATCCAAAGATCCTCAAACATGCTGGAGTTCTTAAACCCACTTGACAGTCACAAGTTCCCTGTGTTGAAAGTACATTTAATCTATATTCCACCAGTATGAACTAGCAAAACACATACACACACACACACACGCACGCACGCACACCAGTCTGAACTAGCATCGCGCGCACACACACGCCAGTCTGAACTAGCAGCGCGCGCACACACACACCAGTCTGAACTAGCAGCGCGCGCACACACACACCAGTCTGAACTAGCAGCGCGCACACACACACACACACACACACACACACACACCAGTCTGAACTAGCAGCGCGCGCACACCAGTCTGAACTAGCAGCGCGCGCGCGCACACACCAGTCTGAACTAGCAGCGCGCGCGCGCACACACACCAGTCTGAACTAGCAGCGCGCGCGCGCACACACCAGTCTGAACTAGCAGCGCGCGCGCGCGCACACACCAGTCTGAACTAGCAGCGCGCGCGCGCGCACACACCAGTCTGAACTAGCAGCGCGCGCGCGCACACACCAGTCTGAACTAGCAGCGCGCGCGCGCACACACCAGTCTGAACTAGCAGCGCGCGCGCACACACACAGTCTGAACTAGCAGCAGCGCGCGCGCACACACCAGTCTGAACTAGCAGCGCGCGCGCGCGCACACACCAGTCTGAACTAGCAGCGCGCGCGCGCACACACCAGTCTGAACTAGCAGCGCGCGCGCGCGCACACACACCAGTCTGAACTAGCAGCGCGCGCGCGCACACACCAGTCTGGACTAGCAGCGCGCGCGCGCGCACACACCAGTCTGGACTAGCACCGCGCGCGCACACACCAGTCTGGACTAGCACCGCGCGCGCACACACCAGTCTGGACTAGCAGCGCGCGCGCGCGCACACACCAGTCTGGACTAGCAGCGCGCGCGCACACACCAGTCTGGACTAGCAGCGCGCGCGCGCGCACACACCAGTCTGGACTAGCAGCGCGCGCGCACACACACACCAGTCTGGACTAGCAGCGCGCGCGCACACACACACCAGTCTGGACTAGCAGCGCGCGCGCGCGCACACACACACCAGTCTGGACTAGCAGCGCGCGCGCGCGCACGCACACCAGTCTGGACTAGCAGCGCGCGCGCGCGCGCACGCACACCAGTCTGGACTAGCAGCGCGCGCGCGCGCGCGCACGCACACCAGTCTGGACTAGCAGCGCGCGCGCGCGCACACGCACACCAGTCTGGACTAGCAGCGCGCGCGCGCGCGCACACCAGTCTGGACTAGCAGCGCGCGCGCGCGCGCGCACACACCAGTCTGAACTAGCAGCGCGCGCGCGCACACACCAGTCTGAACTAGCAGCGCGCGCGCACACACCAGTCTGAACTAGCAGCGCGCGCGCGCGCACACACCAGTCTGAACTAGCAGCGCGCGCGCGCACACACCAGTCTGAACTAGCAGCGCGCGCGCGCACACACCAGTCTGAACTAGCAGCGCGCGCGCGCGCACACACCCAGTCTGAACTAGCAGCGCGCGCGCACACACCAGTCTGAACTAGCAGCGCGCGCGCACACACCAGTCTGAACTAGCAGCGCGCGCGCACACACCAGTCTGAACTAGCAGCGCGCGCGCACACACCAGTCTGAACTAGCAGCGCGCGCGCACACCAGTCTGAACTAGCAGCGCGCGCGCACACCAGTCTGAACTAGCAGCGCGCGCGCACACCAGTCTGAACTAGCAGCGCGCGCACACACCAGTCTGAACTAGCAGCGCGCGCACACACCAGTCTGAACTAGCAGCGCGCGCACACACCAGTCTGAACTAGCAGCGCGCGCACACACACCAGTCTGAACTAGCAGCGCGCGCACACACCAGTCTGAACTAGCAGCGCGCGCACACACCAGTCTGAACTAGCAGCGCGCGCACACACCAGTCTGAACTAGCAGCGCGCGCACACACCAGTCTGTGTGTGTGCGCGCGCTGCTAGTTCAGAAATAGTACATGTTGATTGAGAGAGTGAAGTTCCACTGTAAGACTTGTGGCTGTTTGAGTGCTGCTAGTTCAGACTGCTGTGTGTGCGCGCTGCTAGTTCAGACTGCTGTGTGTGCGCGCTGCTAGTTCAGACTGGTGTGTGTGCGCGCTGCTAGTTCAGACTGGTGTGTGTGCGCGCTGCTAGTTCAGACTGGTGTGTGTGCGCGCTGCTAGTTCAGACTGGTGTGTGTGCGCGCTGCTAGTTCAGACTGGTGTGTGTGCGCGCTGCTAGTTCAGACTGGTGTGTGTGCGCGCTGCTAGTTCAGACTGGTGTGTGTGCGCGCTGCTAGTTCAGACTGGTGTGTGTGCGCGCTGCTAGTTCAGACTGGTGTGTGTGCGCGCTGCTGCACCAGTCTGAACTAGCAGCGCGCACACACACCAATCTGAACTAGCAGCGCGCACACACACCAGTCTGAACTAGCAGCGCGCACACACCAGTCTGAACTAGCAGCACTCTAACAGCCACAAGTCTTAAAGTGGAACTTCACTCTCTCAATCAACATGTACTATTTCTAATCCTCATGCTGCTAGCATTAGTGAATAGATAGGAAAGCATATCATATTTTGTTTTAACTTTTTTTGCATTTCTACATTTACTTAGTTGTTTCCATACCTAGGCAAATGAGATCATACATACCAGGGGTCTTCAGGAGGGGAGGGAGGGTTCTCAGCTCAGCCAATGCCTGAGCCAAGGACAGATTGATTCCAGGAAGTAACTGCTACATGAACCATCTGTCTTTACTCAAGATGGCCACTGCTAGAAAGCTTTTTTTTTAATGGATTTCTCAGAAAAATAAAGCATGGAGACATGGATGGATACAAGAGTTTGTTTTTAATGTTAAAAGTGAATTCTATAATATTTTGGGATTGTGCTCAGATGCAGTGCAGTTCCACTTTAAGCTGGCCATACATGGATCAAAATTCTGCTGGTTCAGCAGGACCTGGATGAATTTCGATCCACGTGTGGTCATTCCTGTTCTATTGATCTACTTTTTATAAGCGGTCCTGCTGAATATTTTTGCTCGTCCAGCACATGCAGCTAATGGCTACAGCACTGATCAGTGTATTCTGACAGTGAGGGAGTCTCATTTTACACAGCGGGAAGGGCTCCCGCATGGGGGAAAATTGGTACAATTTTTTTTTTTCCGGCTGAATGAAAAAACAAAACCATGTGTGCCCACCTTTAGATTATCAATGGGAACCAATCAACATGGCTCCTGATCATGATGGTGATTCATCACAATCTTCCTAGCTTGCAGATGGCACTTTACCTTGCTTTCTATGTACAGGAAAGACATACATTATAAATAATCAGAGGTTAACAAAACATCATTAAAGTGTTACTAAACCCAGGACCCTGCATTCACTATATCCAGTCTTCCTCAGTACACAATACATGGGAATGCAATCATTTTAGTAAATATAAACTGCAAAATACCTTTTCTCATCAGCAGTATATAGCAGTCATGTGACGTCTATCAGTATCCAGCTGAGCACTGGTTAATCTTGTAAGCGTTTTCATTCTGCTCTGACTGTCCTAGGAGGCAGCATGACCCGCTGTCTGGACAATGCTGATTGGCCCTGTGCTGATCACATGCACTCTCCCAAAGAAAACTAAAACCCCGCTCTAGCCATATACACAAAACTGAGCATGTGCAGAGTGACTCCTAGAGCTCTGTACAAACAGATGAATTGGGGACAGTAGAAAAAAAAAGGGGAAGATCAGAGATGACAGGATCAAACAGCCTTTTTACACAATGTGGATTAACCCCTTAGGATCCACAGCGAGTATAAAAAAAAGCATGCTTTACTGAATATACAGACTGATTTTACTGTTATGGGTTTAGTAACACTAAGTGTAAAATAATTGTAATCACAAATGTATTTTTCAAACTTGTGTATTTATCAGAATAATAATAATAATAATAATAAAAAAAAAAAAAAAAAAAATCAAAACGGTATTTATTATCTATTGAAACTGCTAAATTCAGTCTGGATATCTAGGCTTTAAAAGAGAAGTATGTTTTATATTTTTTTTTAACCATAGTTACCTAGGTGGATGCTGCATTTGTCTCTCACTGGCTCTGAGGGTGAGAACTGAGCAATCAGACACCAATGATCACTCAGGTTTTCCCTCCTGCTCTGAGCAGAGTTACCACTCTGCTCTGCCACTCCAGTACTCACTGGAGCACTTGGCTGTGGTGGGGGGAGGAAGCGGCTGCAGTACCAGGAAGCACTACACCCTACAAAAACCAGTGGTGTGGGGCAAAGTTGGTGCAGATTTATGGAGAACACTTTTATATTCCAGCTAGAAAAAATTCTTACCAAGTTTGACTTTCTTCCTTTTGTCATCAAGCTGCTGTGTCCTCTTGGCAGCAGCCTCCTTGGCTTTTCGGAGTTTATCATATGCAGCCTATAAAGGAAAATTAGACCAACAAAGCAAATGCCATTTGTTTAAGAGTTGAATTAAAGACAGTATAAAATGGTCAAGTAGAGAAAAAAAAATCCTTTTGAAGCCAATCACAAATGCAGTATACACTAGAAAATAAGGCTGGTAAAGCACGTAAAACACACATAATTAGTCACTAACAGCAAAGAGGATTATAACTCCTGTTAGTTTTTTGTCTTCTGTGTCCCATTGGGAAAATTTGCCTTCACTTCTTGTCCCATAGCCAAAACAGGAAGTGAGAGGAAATCCCTCCAATGTAAGGGAATCCTGGGGTGTCATCAGGATCACCAGAATTAGTGTCCCCATTGGAAGATTTCCCCTCTATACCTGTTCTAGTGTCAACCCAAAATCTGGGATTTTTTTTTTACTTACTTTTTTCAATGGTAAGTTAGCAACAGCAAGCAGGACAGACAGAGAATGAGCCTTCCCCTAGCAAGGGCACAGACAGCAATAAAACCTAACAGGTGTACTGATTCCTCTCCACTCTTCCAAAAAATTGCCTTTAGTGACACTTTAGGTGCATTTACAACACATTACGTTCTTTAATATATACCGTGACTGTAATCAAAGGGATTAGATATCTGTTATGTAACCCATGCTGCAACCCACCTCCCATTTAACTTGGCAAAGCATCATGATCACACTGGTCACATATATTCCAAATCTAGGAGCCAGCTCCAAAAAGCTACAAACCATGAACATCATATGCACCTTACCCCCCCAAAAAAAAACAAAACATTTCTTAGTTCTAGTGGCAATATCATGTTGGTCACCGTAGGAGTCTAGTAGTAATTATAGTGGAGGTCATTCTCCTGGCTGCATAGTGTTGACGTAGGGTTCATGCTTTAGCTGCAGTGTTTTTTAACATGAAGGTCTCTGACTATACAGTGGGGATCGAAAGTTTGGGCACCCCAGCTAAAAATTTGTATTAAATGTGCATAAAGAAGCCAAGGAAAGATGGAAAAATCTCCAAAAGGCATCAAATTACAGATTAGACATTCTTATAATATGTCAACAAAAGTCAGATTTTATTTCCATCATTTACACTTTCAAAATAACAGAAAACAAAAGTTTGGGCAAAAAGCAAAAGTTTGGGCACCCTGCAGAGTTAATATCTTGTACTGCCCCCTTTGGCAAGTATCACAGCTTGTAAACGCTTTTTGTAGCCAGCCAAGAGTCTTTCAATTCGTGTTTGAGGTATCTTTGCCCATTCTTCCTTACAAAAGTCTTCCAGTTCTTTGAGATTTCTGGGCTGTCTGTCACGCACTGCTCTTTTAAGGTCTATCCATAGATTTTCAGTTATGTTGAGATCAGGAGATTGTGAAGGCCATGGCAAAAACCTTCAGTTTACGCCTCTTGATGTAATCCCCCGTGGATTTCGAGGTGTGTTTAGGATCATTATCCATTTGTAGAAGCCATCCTCTCTTTAACTTCAGCTTTTTCACAGATGGCATCAAGTTACCATCCAAAATTTGCTGAAATTTTATTGAATCCATTTTTCCTTCTACTCGTGAGATGTTCCCTGTGCCACTGGCTGCAACACAACCCCAAAGCATGATTGATCCAACCCTATGCTTAACAGTTGGACAGAGGTTCTTTTCATTAAATTCTGTGCCCCTTCTTCTCCAAACGTACCTTTGCTCATTCCGGCCAAAAAGTTCAATTTTAACCTAATCGGTCCACAGAACTTGTTTCCAAAATGCATCAGGCTTGTCTATATGTTCATTTGCAAAGTTCAAACGATGATTTTTGTGGTGAGGACGTAGAAGAGCTTTTCTTCTAATGACTCTTCCATGAAGACCATATTTGTACAAGTATCTCTTTATAGTGGAATAGTGTACCACAACTCCAGTGTCTGCCAGATCTTTCTGGAGGGATCGTGCAGTCAAACGTGGGTTTTGAATTGTTTCTCACAATCCTGCGAGCTGTTCTGTCTGATATTTTTCTTGGTCTTCCAGATCTTGCTTTACCTTCCACTGTTCCTGATGACTGCCATTTCTTAATTACATTCCGAACAGAGGATATTGACATCTGAAAACGCTTTGCTATCTTCTTATAGCCTTCTCCAGCTTTGTGAGCGTCAACTATTTTCAGTTTCAGTTTTCTAGACAACTGCTTAGAAGAACCCATGGTGCTGATTGTTGGGGCAAGGTCAGATGAGTCTGGGCATTTAAAACCTTTGAGATTGACATCACCTGGTCTTCCCAGACGATGATTGAGAACAATCCATGACACTGGCAGGTCTCAGCTTTGCAAAGGGGGCAGTGCATGCTATAAATTCTGCAGGGTGCCCAAACTTTTGCAGACGCCATTTTTTTGTTTTCGGTTATTTTGAAAGTGTAAATGATGGAAATAAAATCTAACTTTTGTTGACATATTATAGGAATGTCTAATCTGTAATTTGATGCCTTTTGGAGATTTTTCTATCTTTCCTTTGCTTCTTTATGCACATTAATACAAATGTTTAGCTGGGGTGCCCAAACTTTCGATCCCCACTGTAGCTATGTGGTGGTCATCAACTAACCTTCTGGCTTTAGTCCTGATCACTTCCTGGGTCAAGCGGTTGTCAGTCTCAGGGTGTAGCAGTAGTCATGATCCCTCTGACTGTAGTTACATACAGTACCTGTCCACTCATCCAGTGCTGCACTGCTGTCTCCCCATGCTGGATCACACGCGTGTGCTACAGCCTTGCAGATGGCACAGCTCCAGTGAGTCAGAAAATTAGCATTTGAGGTGTCATTTTCTGGAGTGCCATGACCTGATAAGGGTAGGAGAGAAGAGCAGGGCAGGACTGCAGTGAGCATTCGAGTATGCAAGCATTAGATTCCTGATGTAAAATTGAATGGGCTGGCTGAAACACAGCCTCTATTTACTATCCGCTGTGGCAATCTCACACTTTGTGTTCCTTGTGCATTGGTATGTGCTGGAAGATTTGGCTGAATATTCTCATTATGCCCTAGGAATCATATGATGCAAAGATCAGGAACATGCAATGGGCACCACACATGAATCCTAAGCACACTGCACATTTTTACAGCCCCTTTTAGGGGTGTCGGGTGTATTTTCTTCCTGCTTCCAAACGCCCCTCCATGTTAGCCTATGTGTCCATGAACACAGACGTTTAGCAGCGTTTAGTGGAAGGAGAGTCTAGAGACAGGAAACAAACACTGTCAGCGCGTCCTGGAGGAGCAGCAGCAGCATTATGGCAGACAAAATACTTGACGCATCTTAATGTGTGTTTAGCAATCGTTTCAATGGCCAGAATAAACACTTATTCTGGCCAATGAGATGAATGAATGCCGAGCGCTTGATGCCTGTAAATGCACCTAAATGCTTGGAAAAGCAGACACTTTTAAAAACATCAGGCATTTTTTTTCTACCAAAAGGAAAAGGGTTTTCAACACGTTCCGTGTGCATCAGGCCCCAAGATTAGGGGGCCTACAACATGGCAGAAAGTTACCTCCCTGACATACATACCCCTGACTCTGTATGGCAAAGATGGTAGTGAACCAAATCTGTAAACAACTGAGATCCTATGTTAACAATCCACTTACCCTTGCTGCTCCATCAGTCAGTATTTCCAAGGCCTGAGATAGCTGGTGAAATAACTCGGCTGAAATGGCACAAATGAAGAAACACAAATTAGGGAGCTATGAAACTATTGAGGTCAGTTCAGTAAAAGATCCTACAGTGACGCCTTGGGATGAATTCCAGAAAGCATTTAGGACGGTTATTTGGTGGTAGTTCCCTTTAGACCTACCTGTGCTTAATTCAGGCAAGAATTTGTACCAGTATCAGGAATACTATTGACACGAGAAAAATTTGCAGCAGAGAAGTGAACAGAAATAAAAAATCTCACGGCCTCTCTTGAATGTCCAGAAGCCAGGTCTTCGGTGTTCTAGATATTTGCCTCGCCCCCCCCCCCCGAACACATATACCACTTGGTACAGTGTTCAGCCCCATCCAGACACAACCTGCCATAGGCTGTAGGCAGTGTGACTGGAAGCAGCACCCATCCCTCACAGGCACACACACAATCTGGGAAGGATGTACTACAGCTAGATGACCCCATGTGCAAGGGGTATGGTCTCATTCACATTGGCACTCCTATGTTAGCTTTTCTAAACACAGAAGTCCTCTGAGAAGTATGAACTTTTATGCCTCCCAGATCACTTTTCCCTGTGTTTAGATGTTCCTGGTCTGAAACATGTTAGCCACTTTTAGTAGCATTTCCGGTCTGCAATAAGCTTCTGGAGACACAGACCTCTATTTTCTATAAATGCAGCTAAACTGACCACACATAAATGTAGGTAGACGCACAGTGTGAATGGCATCACTGCAAAATCATTGCAGGTGTCTAGAAATTTACTCTAAATGCATATAAAATGCAGGTGCTCCAGTGCCAGTGGGAAGGAGGCTTTAGATTAACGGTAAATAGTTTGCTTAGCCAACCTTTAAAAAACCACCAGCAACATCAATCACAGCGGATGTAAACCCCCAAAGGTTTAATATATTGCAGTGACCAGTCCTTCGTTGGTGGCTGCATTAGTTTTCTTTTAGTCTAAAAAAACTAAAATGTTGATCTTGCCAGAAATTATGTCCTTGTCACTTCTGGGGAGCTCAAAAGTCAGTAAAAACAATCTTATTTTCCTTTGTAAACTACTAATCCCATCAATCATGTAATGAAGATAAACAAAGGCAGACATGTTTCAAGTCCATGCTGTGCAACAACCATGGCTGTCTCTATAGCTACAGTGGAGAAGTGAGAGTAGACACGAAGGAAAAGAAATACAAAAAAGGAAAGGAAAAGAAATAGAAAAAGAAAAAGGTAAGAAAAAAAATGAAAGGAAAGAAAGGAAAAGGAAAGAAAGAAAAAAGAAAGAAAAAAGAAAGAAAAATGCAGCCGCCACATTGGAGGACTGGCCAGCTGGGCAATACATGGAAGGACTAGCCAGCTGGTGTTTTGTTATGTTTTTTTCAATATGTGCAAAGAGAGATCACACAAATACTTAAGTATAACATTTATTACATGTAAAAACAGATACAGATAAAGTTAAAGAAAATATACCAAGAATACATAACTAAAGATGCTATTTCTGCCTTTGGTCCCTCCATTATATGGCATGGCACACAGGTGACCACAGACACATGCATATTGCAGCTCTGACAAAATATTTCCAGTCTAGCTGTATGTTATATGCTGGACTTGTGTGTAGTGTAAGCAAAGGCAATCCAACCCCATGCAAACAACATGATGACCTTCTACGGAAGATAGCACATTCCTGAAAGGAGAGCAGTGGTCTGGTCTGGTTTGGCCAAATAGTCACATTCCTTTGTTATTTAAGGTAATCAGACCTTGTCCTTGTCCAGCCCTTTAACCAAGGCTTGGAGGCATTCTTAAACATGTGAGGCCAACATTAAAAAGGAAATATGTCATTTGCAATTTCCCAATCAGCTGGGCATTACATGGGAGGACCGCCAAGCCGGGCATTACATGGGAGGACCGCCAAGCCGGGCATTACATGGGAGGACCGCCAAGCCGGGCATTACATCACTGGACCGCCAAGCCGAACATTACATCACTGGACCGCCAAGCCGGGCATTACATCACTGGACCGCCAAGCCGGGCATTACATCACTGGACCGCCAAGCCGGGCATTACATCACTGGACCGCCAAGCCGGGCATTACATCACTGGACCGCCAAGCCGGGCATTACATCACTGGACCGCCAAGCCGGGCATTACATCACTGAACCGCCAAGCCGGGCATTACATCACTGGACCGCCAAGCCGGGCAATACATCACTGGACCGCCAAGCCGGGCAATACATCACTGGACCGCCAAGCCGGGCAATACATCACTGGACCGCCAAGCCGGGCAATACATCACTGGACCGCCAAGCCGGGCAATACATCACTGGACCGCCAAGCCGGGCAATACATCACTGGACCGCCAAGCCGGGCAATACATCACTGGACCGCCAAGCCGGGCAATACATCACTGGACCGCCAAGCCGGGCATTACATCACTGGACCGCCAAGCCGGGCATTACATCACTGGACCGCCAAGCCGGGCAATACATCACTGGACCGCCAAGCCGGGCAATACATCACTGGACCGCCAAGCCGGGCATTACATCACTGGACCGCCAAGCCGGGCATTACATCACTGGACCGCCAAGCCGGGCATTACATCACTGGACCGCCAAGCCGGGCATTACATCACTGGACCGCCAAGCCGGGCAATACATCACTGGACCGCCAAGCCGGGCATTACATCACTGGACCGCCAAGCCGGGCATTACATCACTGGACCGCCAAGCCGGGCATTACATCACTGGACCGCCAAGCCGGGCATTACATCACTGACCGCCAAGCCGGGCATTACATCACTGGACCGCCAAGCCGGGCATTACATCGCTGGACCGCCAAGTCGTGCAATACATCACGGGACTGGTAAGCATCTTTTTTTTTTTTTTTTGGGGAGTTAGATACGAGTTAGACGAAAAAATCTACAGTTTTCTGCATGAACATTTGGATGAAAATCTAATTATGTATGGCCATCTCTATGCCTCCATGTGTACATACACACGCACTAAAGGTGGAGATTTTGTGCAAAATATGTAAAAATATTAATTACATTTCCTGTTTCAATAGTTTTATTGTCAAAGCGAAAACTAAGAAGGAAGTCCCGCTGAATTTGCGATCACAGGTAATAGAACAAGTGCAGAGTTCTTACCAGCTCGAGGATTATCTGGATTTTTGTCTGGATGACAGGTGAGGGCTTTCTGTCTGTACGCCTTTTTAATCTGAGGAAATAGAAGATTTGAAGTGTCTTTAGTCTGCTGAACATACAGAGAAGAAATGTTTGTATGAAGTACAACTCACAGCCCACTTTTAGGTTTTCAACACAAAAAGGTGACAAGTTTTGGCAGTTTTGTATGAAAATGTTTGTTTTGGACGGAGCGGGGAAGGCTTAGAACAATGGGTCTCTATTAGGGAGATTTACTCTTCCTTTCTATCCTGCTGACAAAGGTTTTACCAGACAGGAAGTGAGGGCAAATCTGCAACAGAGACACAGAATATCAATCTGCCCTCAGATCTAACCTTCCCCTCTACTGATAAAACCGAGCATTACTAGTTGGATTTCATGTGTTGCTTTCAGCGAGTTGCTCTCACTTCCTGTCTGAGAACATTGTCAGCTGGACAGGAATGGGGGGGAAATCTCTCGAATAGAACCTTGGCTAGCAGCAAAAACTCGGCAAGGGCTCTAATCCTTCCCCACTCTATCCAGTACAAAAAGATTGGGCTGGACATATCCGTCATCCCATGCGCAAACCTGCTTGCACAGTGCACCCACCCCCCATTCCTCCACCTGCAGAGACTCCCTCCCTCCCCCTGCACAGTGCACCGCCCCTCCCCCCCCCACTCCTCCAACTGTACAGTATGCAACAAACACACACTCCTCCACCTGCCTAGATTCAATCCCCAGCAACAGCAGGGAATTCCTACTCCCCCACTCTTCTACCTGCAGACACCCCCTTCCTCCTTCTCCACCTGCAGAGACTCCCTCCCTCCACTCCTCCACCTGCACCCCCCCCCCCCACTCCACTCTTTTAAACTGTACAGTAAGCCACCCCCCCCCCCCCCCCCACCTGCAGAGATTTCCTCTTCCCCCACTCCACTACCTGCATAGACTCCCTCCCCCCCACTCCTCTACCTGCAGACACCCCCTCCCTCCCCCCACATCACTTGCACCTCCAGATACTTCCTACCTCTCCACCTACAGAGACTCCCCCCACCTCTAGAGATGCCTTACCCCCACTCTTCCACCTCCAGGCACCCCCTCCCCCCATTTGCAGAGATTCCTGCTCCACCTGCAGAGACTCCCTCCCCAACCTCCTCCATCTGCAGAGACTCCCTCCCCCCACTCCTCCACCTGCAGAGACTTCCTCCCTCCCACTCCTCCAGCTGCAGAGACTTCCTCCCTCCCACTCCTCCAGCTGCAGAGATTATTCCCTTCCCCCGGTGTCCTCTCTCACCTCTCTCTGGCCGGCATCAGCTTCTATACCAAGCAGTCCGTACAGATCCATCTGCATGAGCTCCTTGGAACCCGGAACCTTCCCCGCCGCCATTCTCGAAGTGTTCTGCCTTCTCCAGGAACACGAACTCCTCTCGGCTCTCACCTTATGACCATCCAATGGGCGGCCGCCGGGAATGTCGGGAAATGTAGTTTTTTTTTCCACGGTCGCAGAGTTCTGCCGTCTATGGTGCTAGGCACGCCGGGAAGTGTAGTCCTATAGCGCGGACAGTACAGAGGATATTAGGTCATCGGACTACAATTCCCAGCATGCCGTTCGGCCACAACAAATCCATTTCCTGAAAGTAGTTGGAGATCTGTGTAGTGACCAGGACAGGGACTGGACAGAGTTGGGTGTCATAAGGTAATTAAAGGAGAACGTCTGTCTGTTTAATAACTTCCCATGTGTGTATGATGATTGAGTGGTGGGGGGTCCCTCATAGCTGGCTCCCCCATTCTATTTCTTCACATACAAGTGTGCCTAATGATTGCTGTTATGCTGATCATACACACTTCCATGTCATTATCTGATCAATGTGTGGTTCATTCAAAACGATGGAATCTGCAAGCAATTGATTAGGCAGGGCGGTAATGATCGATTGTTTAGCAGCAGGGATACACTGTTCATGAATACAATCAGATTTCATGGTGGAGACAGATACACGATCAATAACTAAAGCTGGGTACACACTATTGCCTTCCTGCCATACAACCGGGCGCCTGAATGGAGAAAAAACGTAACATCCACAGGAGAGAGGTGGATGGAGGAATCCTCCCCTCTGGGCTATTGGATGCTGACAGCAGGACTCCTCCACCGTCAGAGTACACTGATCAACTGTGCAGCTATTGGCCGCAGACTGCGGATGGAGGAAGGTTTTCCAGCAGGACCATTCCACTGAAGCTGATCTAATGATGGTCTTCTGTAGACTATGGAGGACCACACACACAGATCAAGATTCTTCCTACTGAACAGCCGAATTTCGATGTGTACCTGGATTTACCTTCATCTGTTACCCGGATTTACCTTCATCTGTTACCCGGATTTTCCTTCATCTGTTACCATCAGTATCTTAACATAGAACTAAAGACAAAGCTTTTTTTTTCATAAAGTAAGGGAGGTTTATAACCCCTGTCAGATCTGTTTTCACCATCCGTGTCCCATTGCTGAGATTTCCCTTCATTTCCTGTCCCATAGCCAAACAGGAAGTGAGAGGAAATCCCAGCAAATTAACCACTTCAGCTCCAGGCCATTTCTGGCACCTTTTGGTTACATGTTAAAATCAGTATTTTTTTACTAGAAGCTTTCTTAGAACCCCCAAACATGATATATTTTGAATGCAATATTTTGAACGGGAATTTCAACAGGAATTGTCCATTCAAATGATAAATCCTGTGCCAAAGTGCAATGGTGCACTTTAAAAATATCCACCACTTCTTATGGGTGCGCACTCACCAGAACTCTGATGTATACAGGCATTGGTTACAATTCTATCACATCTGGGTACAGGGATAGTAGGACAGCTTAGTGGTTAATCCAGCATCCTCTCAGTACCAGTGGTGCGTGCCTCTTTAAATCTGGTGAAGAGTTGCTCAACCACAGTCCAGAGCCCCCTGTTATGCTGGGTCATAAGAAGTGGTAGATATTTTTAAAGGCACATGCACCATTGCACTTTGGCTCAGGATTTATCGTTTGAATGGACAATTCCTGTTGAAATGCCTGTTCATTTATTTATACTCTTTTGGAGTACATATGATAATGATAGACTTTTTATCTTCACTTATTGCACAAATTGCACAATAGCACTTTAATATTGAATTATACATGCAATATTTATTACCATATACTGATTAATTGACATCATACGGAGATTATTATTTATTTATTATCTGCATATTGCACAGCTTTGCACGTATAGCACTTTAGGTACTTGTCTGTTAATGCACCGGATTTATTTATATATATACAAATATATATATATATATAAATAAATATATATATTTTATATGTTTTATTTAAATATATATAAAAAAAAAAAAAAAAAATATATATATATATATATATATATATATATATATATATATATATATATATATATATATATTTTTTTTATATATATTTAAATAAAACATATAAAATATATATATTTATTTATATATATATATATATATATATTTGTATATATATAAATAAATCCGGTGAATTAACAGACAAGTACCGCACTTTATACTTATTGTGCACAATCTATCTATATATATATATATATATATATATATATATATATATAGATAAGTATATCATTTGAGAAAGCGCTGCACTTTCCAGTTTTGTGCTTACGTTACTAGGGATTGTTGCCCATACCCTTTTAGTGCTAGTGGCTATCTGGTATAATTGTTACTCTCTAAATATCCTATGTGCAGGGGCGGACTGACCATTTGGAAACTCGGGCACTGCCCGAGGGCCCGGGGCCAGTAGGGGGCCCCATGAGATGCCCCTGGTACCTTTTTCATAGGCTTTTTTGAGTTTGGGCAAGGACACAGGGGCCCCATGATCCCCTAATGCCCGGGGGCCCCATGAGTTGTCAGTCCGCCCCGTCCTATGTGTATGCGCTCGCTTATACTTTCTTGAAATATTTAGTTATTCTTTAACTACAAATCATCATGCTTGAAGTGATTGTAGTGTATTAATGAGGTCAAAATCCACTTTCTTATGTGTGGTGTATCAATCAAATGGGTTGTCGACTGAAGGTTAATTATTCCTTTTGACAGAGATCAATCAGAAAATAAATCAGCCCTTTAAGACTCACCATGCACATTACAATCTGACGATACAATCTCTGTACAATCAACATTAGATTTACAAAACCTATGTAATGTTAGGACCTACCTAAAGTAGCCAGTCAGAGAAACCCTTGAACTACATATTTGTTGATGTAAAGCAGATTGTACAATCAGATTGTAACGTATGTGCTGACCCATAGGGGGGATTTACTAAAATTGGAGCACTCAGAATCTGGTGCAGCTGTGCATGGTAGCCAATCAGTTTTTTTTTCTGTTAAGCTTTGACTATAAAACCTGGAATCTGATTGGTTTCTATGCAGAGCTGCACCAGGTTTTTCACCGTACAGTTTTAGTAAATAACTCCCTTCATTTCAATTGTAGGCATGAGAGATTTTGTTTTTTTTTTTTGGCATATTTTTGTGATTTTGGCACAGCCTATTGTTCTGTTTGAAGTTTGAATTATAATGATCAGTCCACTTTTTTATTGGAAGTCGTTTATTTTTGGGTTTTTGATTAACCGTTAGGACAGCAAGCCCAGTGTCACTGATCACATGAAACAGTGGGGGTCACACAGAACCGAAGTAACAGAACAATGATCACACACTCACATCAGTCAAATCTGCTCTCCCCCTCCTTATCCTCTATACAGGGAAGAGGAAGAAGACACATAGAGGAGTGAGGAATTAGGAAGAGTCAGTGGACACAGATCACTTCCATTGCAGGAGCGTCGAGCTCTATCTATAAAATGTATTGCGGCAGGCTCAGCCAGTATAGGTAGTTTTACATTTAGGAAGTTGAGACCTCTGTGATAAAGTCAGAGGACTGGGATTTGTTTCAGATGAGTAGGATACATTTCATTTCACTTTCATTTATTTTCAGTGTTCTGTCCCCCAGGGGACATTGTACATGTAGTACTCTGTCTCATGTTCCTATGTGCTTTGTGAACCTAGCTATGAGGTCTGACAGGGCGCTCCTCCACCCCCCCTACCCCCTGCGGCTGTCCAACAACGTAGCAAGGAAGGAGACAGTGGCTGCTTGTTAACCAGCACTTTCTCAGTTTGGCTCTGGGCACTATGCTTTTCACAGCAAAATGAATTGAGGGGTCAGCCTTTTGTCATTCAGCGTTTCTCTTGCTGGTGCTTGTCTTGGAGCCAAGAGAGTGGCAATTATCAAAGAGCAGTCTCCTTGCTGGCTATGTTGTCGAAGAACCACATGGGGGAGGGGGGCTGTCCTGTCCAACCTCATAGCCTTTTATTTTATCACTCTTTTATGTTTCTTCTATGATCACTGATATATCTCCAAATTTTATATCTCACAGGTGACATGGATAGGAGATGTTTTTGTTGTGCATCCAAGTTCACTATTTTCAAAAAAGAGGTGAGTCTCCAGAAACGAGAATGTACACATTGGTTATAAACCTTTGGAGGGGACGGTTCTTCTTACACTACACTAGTGGCTACCAAACTGTACAATATAACAAATATTGGTGTGGCGTTGGACAGTGCTGTCATCCCCAGAATATATAGAATATAGGAGACAACCCTCTTTTAAGGGACATATTAGACTCAGTTTGTAAAAATGATAAAAAAAAACTTTATTATACAAAGATCCTTATGCTTACAATTGTGTCTAACGTGCCTTAAAAGTCCCAGCCTAAGAGGGTTGTCTACTATATACACTGCTCAGATAAATTAAAGGAACACTTTTTAATCAGAGTATAGCATCAAGTCAATTACACTCCTGGGATATTGATCTGGTCAGTTAAGTAGCAGAGGGTTTTTTTAATCAGTTTCAGCTGCTTTGGTGCTTATGAAATTAACAACAGGTGCACTAGACGGGCAACAGTGAGACGACCCCCAAAACAGGAATGGTTTTACAGGTGGAGGCCACTGACATTTTTTTTCCCTACTCATCGTTTCTGACTGTTTTTCACTAGTTTTGCATTTGGCTAGGGTCAGTGTCACTACTGGTAGCATGAGGCAATACTTACCCTACAGAGGTTGAACAGGCAGTCCAACTGCTCCAGGATGGCACATCAATACGTGCCATTGCCAGAAGGTTTGCTGTGTCTCCCAGCACAGTCTCAGGAGCATGGAGGAGATTCCAGGAGACAGGCAGTTACTCTAGGAGAGCTGGAGAGGGCCGTAGAAGGTCCTTAACCCATCAGCAGGACCGGTATCTGCTCCTTTGTGCGAGGAGGAACAGGATGAGCACTGCCAGAGCCCTATAAAATGACCTCCAGCAGGCCACTGGTGTGAATGTCTCTGACCAAACAATCAGAAACAGACTTCATGAGGGTGGCCTGAGGGCCCGACGTCCTCTAGTAGGCCCTATGCTCACTGCCCAGCACCATAGAGCTTGATCAGGATTTGCCATTGAACACCAGAATTGGCAGGTCCACAACTGGTGCCCTGTGTTTTTCACAGATGAGAGCAGGTTCACCCTGAGCACATGTGACAGATGTGAAAGGGTCTGGAGAAGCCGTGGAGAACATTATGCTGCCTAGAACAACGTTCAGCATGACCGTTTTGGTGGAGGGTCAGTGATGGTCCGGGGAAGCATATCCATGGAGGGATGCACAGAACTCTACAGTCTAAAAAATGGCACCCTTGACTGCAATTAGGTTTCAGGATAAAATCCTTGGACCCGTTGTCAGACACTATGTTGGTGCAGTGGGTCCTGGGTTCCTCCTGGTGCACAACAATGTCCGGCCTTATGTGGTGAGAGTTTGCAGGCAGTTCCTGGAGCATGGCCCCCACGCTCACCTGATCTAAATCCAGTAGAACACCTCTGTGATATCATGTTTCCATCCATCCAATGCCACCAGGTTGCACCTCAGATTGTCCAGGAGCTCAGTGATGTCCTGGTCCAGATCTGGGAGGAAATACCGCAGGACACCATCTGTCATCCCATTAGGAGCATGCCCGGACTTTGTCAAGCATGCATACAAGCATGTGGGGCCATACAAACGTCTGAGTATCATTTTGAGTTTCTGCAATGAACTTTTTAAACAAAATGGACTCGCCTGCTGCATCATTTTTTCACTTTGATTTTCGGGGTGTCTATGAATTCAGTCCTCTGTAGGTTGATCATTTTCATTTCCATCAAACGATGGGGCATCCTTACGTTCCTAACATTACCCATTCCATATCGGTATACAGTAGATATCCAGCATGATATTTTTCCCCATTGAGATCCCATGTGTTTTCAAAGTGTTCCTTTAATTTTGTTGAGCAGTGTATTATATACACTCACTGGCCACTTTATTAGGTACACCTTGCTAGTGCCAAGAAAATATCTCCCACACCATTACACCACCACCAGCCTGAACTGCTGATACAAGGCAGGATGGATCCATACTTTCATGTACGTCAAATTCTGACCCTACCATCTGAAATGTTGCAGCTACCAATCTGCCCATTCTCCTCTGGCCTTCGTCATCAATAAGGCATTTTCGTCTACACAACTGCCGTTCACTGGATATTTTCTCTTTTTCGGACCACTCTCTATAAACCCTATAGATGGTTGTGCTTGAAAATCCCAGTAGATTAACAGTTTTTTTTTTTAAATATTCAGATCAGCTCATCTGGCACCAACAACCATGCCACGTTCAATCACTTAAATCCCCTTTCTTCCCCATTCTGATGATCGGTTTGAACTTCAGCAGGTCGTCTTCACCACATCTAGATGCCTAAATGCATTGAGTTGCTGCCATGTGATTGGCTGATTAGCAATTGGTGTTACCAAGCAATTGAATTAGTGTACCTAATGAAGTGGCGGTGAGTGTAAATTGTACAATATATTCCTATGCCTATATTCATAAACCTAATAACTAATAATTAATAAACAGGAATAAACTAGATCTTGCTTCTGTATAGCTGTTAGTTAACACAGACTGAAATGTTTTCTGGAAACAAATTACAATTAAAGTGTTTGTTTTGAATTGAGGGAGGAAGCCTGCACGGTGTGCTAATTCTTATAGTGCTGCTCTAAGCAAAGAAGGAGAGTGTATATAGTCCTGCTGGTGCTCAGAATTGGGGTGCTGGCTGAAAATCTCAGCATCCAGTAGTGTGCAACATATTTGGAAAAACTGACATTCAACCCAATCCAGTCTGTGTGGTTAACTTGTGACGTGGCCTCAGCCCTGCACCACTCCACAACCCAGACCTTCATGGTGTGAACTTAGAATCTCTTTTGTAACTTGAGTGCAGGACCCCAGCTCTGCAAGGCCAGAGTTCCAACTGCTACACTGACATTATGCAAAGCCGGCAGGTTTGCTGCCAAGACTTGTGTTGATATTTACATGTCCCTTTTCCAGTGTGGCTGTAAATCCTGCGGACGCTCCTTCTGTGCAGGATGTCTAGGATTCACTGTTGTTCTCCCTGCATATGGCAACACCAAGCAAAAGATCTGCAAGAAATGTCATGAATCTATCACCAGGTGAGCATGTGTATAGCTGAAGCATAAGTGACAAATGCAATCATAAAGTGCTTATGTGAATAGAAGTGTTCATACAATATTCCAGTGAAATAAATCAAATAAAAAACGTCTCAAATCACATAGAATCATAAAAAGCTCTAAAATTCTGGATATAAATAGTGGATAGTCCGTGGCATTGCAGGTCACAGAAGTGCCAAGTGATATATGTGTTCTTATTTAGCAATAATGGTGATTATACATAGTTCGTGGCACTACAGGTCACCAATGCCTGGTGTTTGTGGAACTACAAGGTCCAGCAATACCAGCTGGGATGCTGAAGAGTGCTCATGATCCAACATAGGAATCCACCACCTTATATGGATGCGCACTCACCAGAACGCTACTTGTATAATAGCATTAATGCTGATTGTTATAAGGGAAGCCATAAATAGGGACCAGACTTCTCCAGGGTCAGGGCTATCAAAACCAGCAAAGGATCCTCTTAGGGGGAGAAGCTCTCCACAGGAGCCGAAGGTATGGCAATACAGTGTAGTATTCGATGTAAATAGTTAAAAGCAATCCACGTGGATACAGCAAAGCGTTAAATGCATAAAAGCATACCAAAATGGCTGCCGCCCCGAGCTCCGGCCACAGCGGCGTGACGTCAGCACGTCTCCACCAAACGCATTTCGTGCACATGCACGTCTTCAGGGGCACGCTTATCTAGTAGCTTACCTGAAGACGTGCATGCGCACGAAACGCATACCCTTCAGTCTTGAGAGCTGCTGCCAGACTCATCCACCTTACAACTAATCATTGTCTGCTACCTCTCAATGCCAATCCCTCCACTGGCTTCTAGTTGGCCAGTTCCCACTCTGTCTGCCTTTAAGCCATCCCTGAAAACTCCTTACTTTAGGGAGACCTTTCCTTTTTCCACCTAAAATTGTACTACTGTCTTCTCTATCGGCTGATCCCTCACAGTTGTGCACCTTTTGTATCACTTACCCTTCCCTTTTAGGTTGTAAGCTCTCACGAGCAGGGCTCGCCTTTATTTTGGAAAGTCCTGTGCAACCTGTTGGTGCTAGATCCCGTTAATCCCCATATAATAATAATTTTGCCAGAAAGCTTTTGGCTTTTTTTTCTGCTTTTAGCATAATTGTATATTTTGTTTTTTTGTTATTAAATTTGCCAATATCCTGTCTTGTCTTAGTACAGTCTGCCCAGGGCTCCTTCTGCTCTCTTGTTTGGGTTGGCTGCATTACCTCATTTGATCAGTATTAGCTGCAATTCAGTTACTTTTTTCTTCAAGATTTTGTTGTCACTATTGTGTGTGAGCATTGCTTATTATTGGGATTAGGTAATTTTTAGAGAATTGCATTTCCCTACATCTCTGTCCCTTTACCTGAGAACCATGGTATTTGTGTTTTATTCTAATTTAATTTTGGATGTGATGTTCACATTTTACATGATGCTCATTCATATCTTGGTATACGGCTTTGTACTGTATATTCTCTCTAATCCTTGTCTGCTTATCAGGGAATGAGGAGAGCATCGTTGCTGAAAGAAGAATGTGTAAATTGCAAGCTTGGCTAGTGTACCTAGTGATATGAAAGTCTTATTTTGTGCACATTCTAATGTGTAGATCAATACTTACAGCTTATGCAGCTTCTTCTTTTATTAGACTGGTCCATTTCCCATGAATACTTGGTCTCCTCAGTGTCTCTCTCCTTTCCAGATTCAGGGTGGCTCCTATCCCTTGCAGGGATCTATGGTGCCATCCTTGTGTGTGCATTCCCAGCTGGAACTAGAATCGATGCTGTGTGTGTCCATTTATACACACACACATCCCCGAAGCAAGGCATGCCCCTGCTCCTTCCTCCTCCTGTAAGTGTGTTGTTCCAGCTGAACAGTGCATGTAAGATACTCAGGACATGTGATCCCCTTTCCTGGAAGTACAGGGAAGTAGTGCTGCACCACTTGGAGCTGGCAGCAGTGTGGGGTTGGAAAAGTAAGTGCTTGTGTCCACATATTCAGTAAATTACACTGGGGGTGGGAAAAGGTTATGATGGCATTACTTAAATGAAAAAAACAAATTGTTGCTATTTAATCCTACTTTAACCACTTGAGTACCAGCCTGTCACCCCTTCATTAGACGATTTTACACTTCTTAGAGCTGTGATAGTTTGTAATTACTCCACCAGTCAACACTGTACCCAAATGAATTTTATATAATTTATTTGATGCAGATAGAGCTTTCTTTTGGCGGCATTTAATAACAACTGTTTTTTACTATATATAAAGAAAACAAAAATTAAAAAGGAAAAAAAAATTTACATAATTGTTTCCCTTATTTTCTGTTAAAATACAAATGCCAGAATTGTACAAACACCTTCTGGAAATTAGACACCCCAAAGTGATCTCGATTTTTGCTCCAATTTTTTTGGAAGGGATGAAACATGCTGGCATTGAGGGGTTTAATAAAGAGCTTTAGAATGGTACACTAGATACTGTTAATGTTCAGGTCATACACAGGATGGATGCAGTGAAGGGGTTAATGTATTGGTCACATACAGTTGCAAGATGGGGATGAAAGCACCGTTAAACCCAAAAGCAAACATTTATTATACTGTATATTGCAACTTCCCAATTCTTTGATATGATGGCTGCATTGGTTCTCTTTTTTAGTCTTTCTTTCTTCTATTTTCATTTGGTGATATAGCCAGCAAGTCTATTGTTTTTTCAAAAGAACAAGCTCTCTTGAAGTTACAGGGATAAGATAAACCATCTAACACTTGCAGAGGTGCTTACAATGATTAGCTTGTATTTATTTATGTCAAACCTTTATACCAAAAGGTAAAAACTGTTTTGCAGTAACGGCTTATAAAGTGTTGTCTGGAGCTTGGCTTCAACTTATATTTAAATCAACTATATTTAACACTGCCCTCCCCCCCAGATTAACAACGCTGCTGTCCAAATGTGCCTCCTGTGCTCATTTATCCAGAGTGGAGGCAGCTGATTCACAGATGGTCGGTGCGGATTGAAGTTCAGGTTTCACAGCGTATTGATACAGTAGTTGTTCACAGGTTCATGTTGTCATGGAAATTTTGTATTACAGGTTGAACTTTAAATGTGTCATATATTAGTGTTATTCATATGTCTCTCGTGTGGTTTAATTAAAGCTCTGAAGGCTGCAATTGGGCCATGCGCATTTACAATGTATATATTACAGTAATGGATGAGATGGCAGATCTGCGCTTATAGACCGGCGTGTATACCACCACGGCATTCGATGCGAATGCCGCCGGTGGTAGGCCGTGGGCCTGTATCCACATATCAGCAGCATAGTACCACATGGACTTCGTATAGCCAGGTGCCGGGCAGTGCGAACTCTGCGTGTAGGCTCATGTATATCTTACAAACCACTACCGACCTGAACTGTATCCGGATGGATGTGTTTTAATAAAGATCGTATCGGGCCCATTCAGATACAGACTGACACTGTTTAATCTAAGGGATGCTTGTACAGACAATGTACATACTACTAGGAGCTGATAGCATGTAAAAGGATGGGAAGCTTGCTCTCCACAGAGAGCTCACCATGGGAAAGGGGGAGGGGAGAACTGGTTTCCAGTATAGACAAAAGGAAAGGCTACGCTCCAATCAGGATGTACATTCTGTGTATAGACACCCCCTACACATTGTTCTGTGGGAGGGGATTGACCTGACCCCCCCCCCCCCCCCCCCCCCCCCCCCCCCCCCCCCCCCCGTGTGTGTACTTGTAATAAAACAGAAGGCTGGGGTTGGAGCCAGTCTCACAGTGAATTCCAACTGCAACCTGAGAGTGTCGTGTGATCATTCCTGGGTAACGGGAGCTCCATTTTCCCCACATCTCTACAGAGCTAAACCAGTTGGAGGTGCAGGAATAGTGGAGTTTAGCTGCAGTCGCGGTAAGCGAGATTCGCACAGCTTTATGGGGGATTTCTGCGCATCCAACTGCGAGTACTCACGGTAAGGAGAAATTCGTTAAAAGCGAATTTCCAAGACAATGTCCAGTTTATATCAGGTTCAGGACAGGATTAGCTCTCAGGATCTTATCCTGTTCACACATGTGCGGATGAGAAACAGTTCCCATAGAAGTCAATAGCCTGTAATCTGCACCTGAACCAGACCACACTGCTCAGAAATTGTACATGACTCTGTTTCAAACCACACTAAATCCGCATCCTCAGTGCACCAGACATATGTGAACCAACACTAATACAGGAGGTATGTTACTGGCCAGATCACCAGGTGAAAACAGAGAGGAAAAACTTACAAAAAAGAAAACGAATGCAGCCACCACATCTAAGGATTGGTAAGATGCAATATATTACAGTTTTGGTTTTGAAATGATACCACTTTAATGTTTGCTGTGGAGGATAAGTGAGGTGAAACAGTTAATATACAGGTCACATGAAGATAGTATATATGGAGGCGGGGGTATGAAAGTATTAGTTAAAAAGGCGATCCCTGTGTCATTGAAACAGAATGAATGAAGCTGCAGATGCGGATCCGTTCATTCTTTCCCAACTGATAAGTACTCGGTCTCTCTCCTTCCTCAGCTGTAAGGGGAAGGGGAGAGATGAAGAGTGTGAACAGTACCATTTGATTGCTGTGATGACCAACCACAGTGATCACATGGTACCAGGTCTCTTGGATTGTCTCTGTACAGTATCAAATGACAGCTCAGTACACAGTGACTACTGTGTGGATCTGCTGCCCAGCAGCTATTTATACAGTGCCGTTTATAAACAGCACTGGATAAATATAGGGCCACTGATATGCTATTTAAAGAGTACCGCAGTAGAAATGGGGTTAATGAGTAAAATGCCAGCCCCATATAATGTATATGGTAGAACTTGTGGCAAATTCATGTATGCATCAGTGAGGTGTGTGTGAATGTGTCACAACACAGACAGAACGGTTGCAAGCATCTCTCCTGTCAAGAGCTGGAGTTTTACAGACAGAGAAGAGAATCGAAGCAGTTGGGAAGTAACCTATTTCAGAGAAAAGTAAAGACAAACTTTGTTGCAGAATTGTCTCAAAGATGCGACACAAAAATTACACGGGCAATACAGTCAACAATTTGCTGTAAGGGTGTGAAGAGGCTTTATTTACCTCCCCATCATTGATATGGTGGTATTTCTTTATGAAACTGTCACAACAATAATTCCATACAGTAAAAGGGTTGGAAATAAGAACTGCTTGAATCCGTTGGTTGGGCAGTACGAACAATGAAAATGTCACAGGGTTTTGGCTCAGGGTTTCGATATACAAACACAACTCCAGAAACACATCGCAAATGCCTTTTTGGAATACCCCCACTGTGTTGTCAGCTCACAATGAAAAAGCTGAGTGCATTTCTGGCTCGTCAACCTTTATTTTTGTGTACTTGCCCAGTTATTAATGGGATAAAACACAGGGACATGTACATGTATTACAGAGATACAGTGTTACATATGGGTTTTTTTCTTTTTATTGCCTTGATTTACACTTTAAGGCTCCATGTACACGGGACACTTCTGCAGGATGAAAACTGACTGCTGGAAACGTAGGTTAAAAAACGTCTGTTTAGCCACATTTGCATACCACGTTTATGAGCGTTTGTGTTTAGAAGCGTTTTTTAAAGATAACCTCAGGAGACCTTTCAAAATGCCCAGAATGCACTGAAAAACAGTAAAAAATTAAATATTTCAGACATTTTGAGAGAAATAGAGCAGAAGCAGAGAGAGCAGTATTTGTTGAGATTAGCTGTGTTTGGATGTGTTCCAGCCCATTTCTGTGCAGAAATTATTGCAGCAGTGTCTAACATATTTTCTTTCATGCGAAACCTCAAAGTATGGTGTACCAGTTCCATTTGAGTAAAAAAAATTTTCCAACTGCAAACGCTTATAAACTTGTTTAGCCGCGTTTACAAGCGTTTGGCATTTGAGACACTGATAAAATCTACTCTTGAACGCAAGTTTGGTGCGTCCAAAAAACCGACTGTAAACTCAATTGCCTGTAAACTGTTGTCTTCACACAATATACTACATAAACGACATAGTGTACATGGACACATAGGAAAACATTAGGGAGAGTTCAGGGCTGCTGAAAAAAAAATGCAGAAAAGCTCCTAAACGTGAGTTTATCAGCTGTGGTGTACATGGAGCCTAAGGCATATTCCTATTAGTATTTCAGTTTCTCGAATTTCTCATTTATTTCAGTGGAAAGGATCAAAGTAACAGTTGCTCTAAATGGTCTCCACCAGAGAATTATAAGAAGTAAGTATTATTTTATGCATATCATGTGACTTTAAAGTTGACAGTTATATAATTCAATTTACAGCTTTATGTCATCCCCTTAAATTTGGAGTGATTGTATGACCTGTTGTGCACATTATAATGGACAAGATCGTATTTATGAAGCACAGTGTACGTACCTATATTAAGTTTCAAAAAGGTGTTGCACTTTCTGTGTGAGAGCTGCCATTATATAGGATAGGCAAACATTACAGGAAAGATACACTGATCAGCCATAACATTATGATGACCCACTTCATATTGAGTAGGTCCCCCTTTTGCCACCAAAACAGACCTGAACCATTGAAGCATGGATTCTGATAGACCCCTGAAGGTATGCTGTGGTATTTGGCACCAAGGAGTCAGTAGCAGATCCTTTATGTCCTGTAGGCTGTGAGGTGCGGTCTCCATGAATCGGACTTGTTTTTTTAGCACATCCCACAGATGCTTGATTGGATTGAGATCTGAGGGACTTGGAGGCTAAATCAATACCTCAAACTCATTCTTGTGTTCCTCAAACCATTTTTGCAGTATGGCAGGTTGCATTATCTTGCTGAAAGAGACCACTAACATCAGGGAATACTGTTTCTATGAAGGAGTGTACTTGTTTAGCAACATTGTTTAGGTAGGTACATGTCAAGTAACATCCACATGAATGGCAGGACCCAACATTTCCCAGCAGAACATTGCCCAAAACATCATGTTATCTCAGCCAGATTGCCTTCTTCCCATACTACATCCTTGTGCTATCTCTTCCTCAGGTAAGCGATGCACATGCACCCAGCCATCCACATGATGTAATTCATCAGACCAAGCCATCTTCCATTGCTCCATGGTCCATTTCTGATGTTCACTTGCCCATTGTATGCACTTTTGGCTGTGGACACAGGTCAGCATGGGCACCTTGACCTGTCTGTGGCTACACATCCCCATACACAACAAACTGCGATGCCCATCATTTCTGTTTTCTGGAGCATGCAAATATCGGGCAGATCTGCAGAGAAACCAATCACCTTCCAGGTTTTGTTGTCAAATCTTTATTAAACAAGCTGAAGTTAGAAGCTGATTGGCTACCATGCCCACCTGCACCAGATTTTGAGAGCTCCAGTTTCAGTAACTCTCCCCCTCATGTTTACTTGTTGCCTAATCTATCCCACTAACTCAAATGCCATTGTAATGAGATAATCAATGTTATTCACTTTACTTGTCAGTGGTCATAAAGTTATGTCTGATTGGTGTATATTCTAAATAATGGTGAAAGCCAAGTATGTTAGTCTACATAAAACCTCTTTACATCTGAAACTGATAAAGGGGATAAAGATCTTTTTAGTAGCCAAATTTCTTGAGATCAGATCATGGTATTGCTAGTAGTAGTTAGTCACATTCAACTGGACTTATTTAGTAATGTAATAAATGTGTCAGAAGTATAGAAAAGTAGCTTCCTTACCAAGAAGTGTCACAATGTCAAACTCACCAGCGACAGGATCAGTTTACAGGGTAGACAATACTCCATGTTTTGCGTCCTTGCTGGTTGGATGGCATCTTACAAACTGATATGTTTCTGCCTGCAAGAAAGCAACAACTCGCTCATCCAGCCAGTGAGGGTGCAACACATGAAGACAGGTGAGTTCTTAAAGCGGAGCTCCACCCAAAAGGGGAAGTTCCGCTTTAAGCACTGCACCCCCGCTCCCCATTAAGGATTGACACCTTTGGGGGGCGGGGGGAACGGGTACCCGAATTTGACAGGTACCGGCTCCCAATTGCTGTCGGACCGCCTAGGCGATCGAAAACGGAAGATGTCTTCCCTCCTTCCCTCCCTGTAGTCTTCTGGGACACGTGACAGGTCCCAGAAGACTACAGGACCATTGATGAAGTGCAGCGATACTCGCGCATGAGCAGTGGGTACCCGGCTGTGAAGCCACAAGCTGTCACAGCCGGGTGCCCACACTGAAGGTGCTGACCTCCAGGAATCCAGGATGGCAGGTGAAACGGGCTGCGGGGGACACACCACGGGACCGAGGGACAGGTAAGTGGATGTTTTTTAAAAGTCAGCAACTACAGTTTTTGTAGATGCTGACTTTTATTTTTTGACAGGATGAGTGGAACTCCGCTTTAAAGTGATTGTAAAGGATTGTTTGTTTTTTTCACCTCTTAAATACCAGACACTTTTACCCACTTCCTGCCCAGGACAGTTTTCAGCTTTCAGCACTCTCACACTTTGAATGACAATTACTCAGTCATGGAACACTGTACCCAATTGAAACTTTTAGCATTTTTTGAGACAGTGCGTTCTTTTGGTGGTATTTAATCACCACTTTTTTTTTTTATATAAGAGAAATATAGACTGACAATTTAGAAAAAAACACATTGTTCTTCATTTCTGTTATAGAACTTTGCAAATAAATAATCTTTTTTCAAAAATTTATGCCAAAATGTGTTCTGCTACATTTATTTGGTAAAAATCTGTGTATATTAATTAGTCTGTGCAAAAGTTACAGGGTTTACAAACTATAGCATATATATTTGATGATTGATCAGTCTTGTTGAGACCCTAAAATGCTAGGACAGTAGAAATACCTCCCAAATGACCCCTTTTTGGAAAGTAGAACGTCTGAAGTATTTAGTAAGAGGCATGGTGAGTTTTTTTTGAAGTTAGAATTTTTGTCACAATGTCCTGCAATTATAATTTTTTTTTTTACATACTGTCACCAGAGCAGTACAGCGTCATCATATAACTAGTGTGGTGGTTTGTAAAAAAATAATATATATTTTTTAACTTTTTTTTTTTTTTTTTTACATACTGTAACTAGAGCAGTGCAGTGTGACCATAGTGTCATAGTACTATGAGGGAGTGATCAGGATTTTTTTATTTTTTTTTTACACTACATTTGTAGCAGCACAGTGCAGATGAAATAACTTATGAATAAATATCAAAAGCTGTTCCACATCTACTGGATTAGGATATTTTTTTTTTTTTTTATGATGCTGCTAATGCAATCCCACTATTCTAAGATGCTGCAGAAGTTTTATAGTTTTTGGATTGAAATCTTTTCAGTTGCTCTTTACAGATTTGAACACATGGGTTAAAGTAAATTACTGAGTAGGTAGCTCCTAAGCCACATTGCTTAAAATTCCTGAATATACTGTATGTAAAGCCGAATAAGTAAATCATTATATTGAACAAAAATCAGTGAAACTAATTAAACTATATTTCAGGAGAGTGGCCGCCTTAGAATCCAGACAGAATCAACAAAAAGTGATGCAGATGGGGCCTGGATTGCCACATGGAGGAACGAACCAAAAATATGAGGGTTTGTCTGCAGAAGACAGAGCTATTGCTGAACGTCTTGATAAACTCAAGCAAGAAACTAAACCTAGTGAGTCGAAATGTTTGGATTTTTCTGTTCAGAGTAATGCAACTAAAAAAAAGCTACTTATACAGTGCCTTGAAAAAGTATTTGTACCCCTTGAAATTTTTTACAAATATATTTTATTTGGATTTTATGTGATAGACCAACACAAAGTGGCGCATAATTGTGAAGTGGAAGGAAAATGATAAATGGTTTTCAAATGTTTTTACAAATAAATATGTGAAGAGTGTGGCCTGCATTTGTATTCAGCCCCCCGGAGTCAATACTTTGTAGAATCACCTTTCGCTGCAATTACAGCTGCAAGTCTTTTTGGGGATGTCTCTTCCAGCTTTGCACATCTAGAGAGTGAACATTTTGCCCATTTTTCTTTGCAAAGTAGCTCAAGCTCTGTCAGATTGGATGGAGAGAATGTGTGAACAGGAATTTTCAAGTCTTGTCACAGATTCTCAATTGGATTTAGGTCTGGAGTTTGACTGGGCCATTCCAAAACATCAATATGCTTTGATAAAACCATTCCATTGTAGCTCTGGCTGTATGTTTAGGGTCATTTTCCTGCTGTAAGGTGAACCTCCGCCCCCGTCTCAAGTCATTTGCAGACTCTAACAGGTTTTCTTCGAAGATTGGCTCCATCCATCTTCTCATCACCTCTGACAAGTTTCCCTGTCTCTGCTGTAGAAAAGCATCCCCGCAACATGATGCTGCCACCACCATGTTTCACAGTGAGGATGGTGTGTTCAGGGTGATGTGCAGTGTTAGTTTTTTTCCACACATGGTGTTTTGCTTTTAGGTCAAAAAGTTCAGTTTTGGTCTTATCTGAGCAGAGCAACTTCTTCCAATTGTTTGCTGTGTCCCTCACATGGCTTCTCGCAAACAGCAAACGGGAATTATTTTAATTCTTTCAACAATGGCTTTTTTCTTGCCACTCTTCCATACTGGCCAGATTTGTGGAGTGCACGTCTAATAGTTGTCCTGTGGACAGATTCTCCCACCTGAGCTGTGGATCTCTGCAGCTCCTCCAGAGTTACCATGGGCCTCTTGGCTGCTTCTCTGATTAATGCTCTCCTTGCCCAGCCTGTCAGTTTAGGCGGACGGCCATGTCTTGGTAGGTTTTCAGTTGAGCTGTACTCTTTCCATTTACAGATGACAGATTGAACAATGCTCTGTGAGATGTTCAAAGCTTGGGATTTTTTTTTATAACCTAACTTTTCTTTAAAATTCTCCACAACTTTATCCCTGACCTGTCTGGTGTGTTCCGTGGTCTTCATGATGCTATTTGCTCACTAATGTTCTCTAACAAACCTCTGAGGTCATCACAGAACAACTGTATTTATACTGAGATTAATTTACACACAGGTGGACTCTTATTTACTCATTAGTTGATTTCTTAAGGCAATTGGTTCCACTAGATTTTAGTTAGGGGTATCAGAGTAAAGGGGGCTAAATACAAATGCACTTTTCAGATATTTATTTGTAAAACATTATGAAAATCATTTTCATTTCACTTCACAATTATGTGCCACTTTGTGTTGGTCTATCATATAAAATCCCAATAAAATACATTTACGTTTTTAGTTGTAACATGACAAAATGTGGAACATTTCAAGGGGTATGAATACTTTTTCAAGGTGCTGTATGTAATCTACAGTTTTATTTGCCATTTAGAGGTTAGTTTACAGAACCAAATACAAATTCATCACCCTTTGATCATACATGCAGTGTTAGGAGCTGTGAATCCGAGGCTTATCTCCATGTTTTAACACATGCAGTGGCTGTCAGCTCTGTACAAACTATATGTAGCCCTAATTACATACCCTTTATACAGTGCTGTGTTCCAGTAGAGGAATAGGAACCGCCTGTCCCACTCCTGGAATAAAATCAGGTTGGGATGAGCACTGCTGATTCATTCGCAGCATATTCTATCAATGCATACAAAGCTTCATCTGATTGACTGAGGCTCAGAGGCAGGCGATTAGCATCATGATCTTCAACTCAACCAATCAGAGGAAGCTTTGTTTATATTCATAGAATACAAAGCTGTCTGTGAATGGCTGAGAAGCACCTAGTTCAGCTCGATTTTGTTTTCCAGGATACAGCACTGTATACTGTATGCAGCTGATGCTGCATACAGTTCATACAGTGCACACAGTCCCTGCAACTCTTAGTGAAGTAAATAGTTTGTTTGGACCACCTTGGTGCAAACAAACTATTTAAACTACACTAAGACCTGGAGTTTACTGCTTCAGCTTAAGCTGATCCTTTATACACTAAATATTTCAACAACACAAGGCCAAAAAAGGAGAGCCTTACCCAGAAAGTAAGTTTACTCTGGCTGGAAGAAAAATATGAGTAGGGGTGTACCACATGTGAGATAGGATGACCATACTGAGCACAGTAAAATCAAAGAATAAATGGTGAGCGCAAGACAAAACAGGAAAAAGTAAAGTAGCTAACACAACGTGGCAAACCCTCTGTCTCCACCAAAACAAAACACTATAATATCAATTTGCAGCGCTAATAAAAATGTGTGTTTTATAATCAATGATGACCAGTGCGGTTGTAAAAGAGAAAGGAAACATCATAAAAAAGAAATAGAGAATAGTGAATACTCCAATGAAGAAACAAAATGGGTGGTATAACAAATAAATGAAAATATATACGTCCTCTAAATATCATAATAGTCCCAAAAATAGTGATGTGATCAAATCGGCCAAATGTAGTGACTTCTGTGACTTCTGCACTGCACCTCCACCATAATGCACTCACCAGAAGTAAGTAGCAAGCAAGCCCAGAGCAGAATGATACTAAGGGGTGTTCCTGCCGGTGACCCGGTTGCAGGTGGGATCTCTCCAGAAGCCAGTGATACACCAAATGAATAATCAAAAGTAGAGTAGCCAAGTCTCCATCTCCAGCCCACGGTGAACCAAGGAAAGGGATTCCTCTTGGAGGGCAAGCTCATAGACTGAGCCCAGAGACAGTATCATATAGTGTATGTTTTATTAAAAAGATAGCAGCCACATGGAGCATAAAATCATCAATGGATAAAAAGCACTTACAAAGATGGCTGCTGGACCACCACATGGATGCGGCGGCGTGACATCAGCATGTAGGCTGCTCACGCATTTCGTGTACACGCACGTTCTCAAAGGGATCCACCTGACCGCTAGGCAAGCTGCCAATCACTTTTGTAGTGCTGTGCTGCTACAGTGATCACCACGATCATTGAGCCATGTGCCAAGTGACTTCTTCTTTTAGACGAGGTGAACATCATGATGTCACTGCCCCTCTTCTTTACCTGGTCCTATCAGGGAACACTGTGCATTCATTTAAAAAAAAGTACAAGGTGCTCTGTGAATGGCGCAGTGCAGCGTGAGAGCCTGTGAGAAGCTCATCTTGTGCAGTGAAATTGGAATTATCCATTTCAGTAAAGGAGAGGAACCTCAAACGCATTGACTCCTGCTGTTTTCCTTTTGGGTAAATGCATCTCTCCTACCTCCACTCCTAACTCAAAATCGCTTTCACTCCTGTTATATTCAGAACAAATGGTGTATTTATATTTGTGTGTATGTTGAGCAGTCCTCACCTCCAGTTGCACCCAGTTTACGACTGTAGCCTGGTTCCTATGAGACATCCCCCACTATTCATGTGAGCCTTATCAGCTTCTAATTGGGGTGGAGTTGAATGCTCATTTGAGCATCTCCCTATAAATTCAGATCAGCTCATGGGGGGAGATCTCTGATGGGGGGCACAGTCTCTGATGGGGGTGCTGCTTCTGATGGAGTGCGGCTTCGAAAGAGTGCGAAGCAGTTAAACACAGCAGTTGAACTAAAGCAGGAGAACCTAAGCAGTAGAAAGACACAACAACAGCAAGAAACTCTACTGCATGCTGGACAGACTGCAAGCAAACACCCTGGGAAACATCTCTTACATGCCTGAGTCCCACTCTGTGTACCTTTATATAATACACTCCTCTTCATACTACTATCCTCTGTTCCCAAATCTCATTTCTTTACCCCTCTGCTCCACCCCAAAACTTGCACATCTCCCCCTCACTGCTATCATCTCCCTACTACTGCTCTCATCACCCCCCCCAATGCCTCTTCTACTCCTTCTCATTTTCCTCTCCTCCATTCCCAAAATCCATTCACTATATCCCTCTGCTCCTCCTAAACATTTGTATATTGTGTCCTCACTGCTTCCTTCGCCCCTCTATGGCACCCACCACCTCCTCCTATTATTCCACTCTCCCACTGACCCGAACACCTCCACTAGGAGTTTCTCACGCTCCTGCACATCCCGCTCCCATGCCACCTTTCTCACCCTTCTCCTCCTCCTAGCCGCGGGAGACATCTCCCCGAATCCTGGCCCTCCACCACCTCCCTCACCCGCACAACACCCTCCCGCCTCCATGTCCTACCGCAACCCCCCCGCAACCTAGTATCTGTCCCCCTGCTCCCTAAAATCTCCCCCCCGTTTTCATGTGCACTCCTGAACGCCCGATCGGTGTGCAACAAGCTTACCGCCATCCACGACCTCTTTGTTTCCCGCTCCCTCAACCTCCTGGCGATCACGGAAACCTGGATCCAGCCCACTGACTCTACCTCCCCTGCTGCACTCTCCTATGGAGGTCTCACCTGGACCCACTCACCCAGACCTAACGGTCGTAAAGGTGGTGGGGTTGGTCTGCTCCTGTCACCGCAGAGCACCTTCCGAGTCCTCCCAAACCCCCCCTCCCTATCCTTCTCCTCCTTCGAGGCCCACTGCGTCCGACTATTCTCCCCAACCCCCCTGAAGATTGCTGTGATATACCGGCCTCCTGGATCCATACCCCGCTTCCTGGAAGACTTCTCCTCCTGGCTACCCTTCTTCCTCTCCTCTGAGCTACCCACCATCATTCTTGGGGATTTCAACATCCCTGTCAACCTTGACAACCCAGACACAGCCCGTCTCCTCCACTTAACCTCCTCCTTTGCACTTGCACAGTGCATACAATCCACCACCCACTCCGACGGTAATATCCTTGATCTTGTCTTCTCCAACCGCTGCGCTCCCCACAACCTCACTAACACCCCCCTTCCCTCTCTCTGACCACAACCTGATCACCTTCTCTATCTCCTCGTCCTCCAACGCCTACCCCTCCAAATGTCACACTACTACCAGCCGTAACCTCCGCAACCTTAACCCTGCCCCCCTCCACTCTGCAGCTGATCAACTCCACGACCGCATCCTCCCCCTGTCCTGCCCCGACTTGGCTATGACTGCCTACCACAACGCGCTGTCAGCAGCCCTTGACTCACTAGCGCCTTTAACCACACGCAACATCAGACTCCGACCGCTCCAGCCCTGGCAGACTGATCACACCAAAACCCTCAAACGACGCAGTCGTGCCCTGGAGCGACTATGGCGCAAAACAAAATCCCAACAAGCTTTCACCTGCTACAAATCTGCCTTCCGCACCTACACCTCCTCCCTCCACGCAGCCAAACAAGCCTACTTCCTGACCCTCATCAAGGCCCTCTCCTCCAATCCTCGCCGACTCTTCTCCACCTTCAACTCTCTACTCTCTCCACCCCCACCTCCACCCAGCACCTCACTCACCGCCCTTGAGATTGCCAATCACTTCAAAAACAAGATTGACACAATTCGCAAGGACATTGCCGCAACTCACACGCCCTCTCAACCCGTCCCCTCTCACACAGCTACCCCCTCATCCCCCCCCCCCCCCTCGACATTACCCGCAGGGACTTCGTCACTGCTCAAACTCCCTCCAACCCCCATTCCCCCTCACTCAGCTACCCCCTCATCACCCCTCTCCACACGGCCCCACCACTGCTCTGACCTCCACTCCCACCCCACCCTACATTCCTCATACTGAAGCTCCCCCAACACTCCACACCTTTGACCTTACTACCATCGAGGAAGTCTCCAAGATCCTCTCTGATGCCCGCCTCACCACCTGCCCCCTCGACCCTATCCCCTCACAATTCCTACGACCTCCCCCCCCCCTCCATCCTACGCTCCCTCACCCACATCTTTAATCTCTCCCTCTCCTCCGGCACTTTCCCCTCCCCACTGAAGCATGCACACATCACCCCCCCATACTTAAAAAGCCCTCCCTGGACCCCAATGACCCGAACAACCTCAGACCCATCTCCCCTGCTCCCACTTACATCTAAACTCCTCGAGCGCCTCGTCTACACCCGCCTATGCTCTCACCTCAACGACAACAACCTCCTCGATCCCCTACAGTCTGGCTTCCGCCCCCTACACTCCACCGAAACCGCCTTACTCAAACTCTCCAACGACCTTCTAACCGCCAAAGCTAATGGCCACTATTCAGTGCTCCTACTCCTTGACCTCTCTGCGGCCTTCGACACAGTTGACCACCCCCTCCTCCTCAAAATACTACACTCCCTCGGCCTCAGAGATTCTGCTCTCTCCTGGCTCTCATCCTACCTGTCACAACGCTCTTTCAGCGTTACCTATAATGCTACCACCTCCCCCTCACTCCCCCTCTCTGTTGGGGTCCCTCAAGGCTCTGTCCTTGGGCCCCTTCTCTTCTCCATCTACACCTCCTCCCTTGGCCAACTCATACACTCTCACGGCTTCAACTACCACCTCTATGCCGACGACACACAAATCTATCTCTCAACCCCCCCCCCCACCTCACCCCCTCGGTCTCTGCCCAAATCACACACCTACTGAGCGACATATCAGATTGGATGTCGCTCCACTTCCTTAAACTGAATCTCTCCAAAACCGAGCTCCTTGTCTTCCCCCCAGCCCGAACCCCACCCCCCATTGACTTCTACATCACATCCAACAACGCCAATATCAAACCCGCTCTGCAGGCCAGAGTACTTGGTGTCATTCTGGACTCCAACCTATCCTTCCAGCCCCAAGTCCAATCTTTAACAAACTCGTGCAGACTCCACCTCCGCAACATCGCCAAAATCCGCACGTTCCTAACCCCAGAAACCACTAAACAGCTCATCCACTCCCTCATCATATCACAACTCGACTACTGCAACTCCCTCCTCACTGGCCTGCCTCGCCGCTGGCTATCCCCGCTTCAGTCGATCCTGAATACGGCTGCCAGACTCATTCACCTTTCCAACCGCTCCATTTCCGCCACCCCCCTCTGCCAATCCCTCCACTGGCTTCCGATTGCGCAACGGATCAAATTTAAAATCCTAACGCTGACGTACAAAGCTGTCCACCATACTGCCCCGAACTACATCACTGACCTAATATCCAAGTACCGCCCAGCACGCATACTCCGCTCCTCACAAGACCTCCTTCTCTCTAGTTCCCTTGTCTCCTCCTCCCATGCCCGCCTCCAGGACTTCTCCAGGGTGTCACCCATCCTCTGGAACTCCCTTCCCCAACCCATCAGATTATCACCTACTCTCCTCTCCTTTAGGCGCACCCTGAAAACCCATCTCTTCAGGGAAGCCTACCTCACCCCCTGCTAACTTGCTGACCTCCTCCACTCTTCCTACCACTCCATCCCCCACAGCTATCTCCTCCTGTACCACTATCCCATCCCTTCTAGATTGTAAGCTCGAAAGAGCAGGGCCCTCGATCCCCTCATGTTTTGCATTGTATTGGTATTGTTCTGTCACATGTTCTGTCCCCCTTTGTAATGTACAGCGCTGAGTGAACTATTGGCGCTTTATAAATACTGTATAATAATAATAATAATAATGTATGTTTGCATTCACCCATCAGCTGAGTCAGAGGCAGGAAATGGCAGAACACATAATCTGCGTAGATAGGCAAGTATCTCATTGCCCATTGTGCTTACTGGGACATCTGGTGATTTATAATTGGCTCTAGAATAACCAGAGCTGAGCTTATACCTTCATGGGAACAAAGTGTATGGGAGATATCTGTCCATCCTTTCTTGAAGGCAAGTTAGGAAATCTCCCCATGCTATAACAAGCACTCCCAAGTGCATGTAGCACTCGTTAATTACAGTCATATACACCCCAATAATAGCAATGAAAGTTTCCTATTATTGAACCGTCTGTGACCACCTTTATACCTACATATACAGCATACATCCTCTATATGGGCTCATGTAAATGGAATTTTGTTTGTGCTTTGCTACATTTTAAGAACCAATGTGAATACTGAAACAGCTCAAAAATATCTTTAAGGAACTCCAACTACAGCTAGATGCAGCTCAGAAGCAGCTTGAAGCAATTTTCGGAGTGACTGAAAGGCTAATCAGAGCATTAAGTATTTTTGTTTGTGTGACCCAATTGCTTATTGTATGTTTTTTTTTTCTTGTATTATAACACAGAAACTGTTGCCTCAACGGCAGAAATAGAATCCAGAGTGCAAGCTCTACAGAAAGACACACAAGGCCGTGTTCCATCTCTACAAGAAATGGAAGACCGGCTTGCAGTACTGCAAGGGAGGACTACTCCATCTAGAACAACCAAACCGGTATTAATTGTATTGCTTCCTTTAATGCAGTCAATTAAAACACCAGTCTTACAGAATTTAAAAACCCTCAAGGTAATACGGTGAGAGGTTAAATCTGGTGGACATCCTTTTTTTTTTTTAAACTTCTTGAAGTAGTAGTAATCTCTTATTTCTTTTTTTATCTACAGGTACGCTTGTAAAATAGCTTATCTGTAGGTAAAATGAATATCTCCGAAACATGCACCGCTTAGGAGATATTCTACAGAGCAGTAGCCGGTGACATAACCGGCGCATGCGCTCTGAAGGAACAACATAACCGTGCCATTCCTTCAGAACTATGTGCCGTGGCTGTGGATGTCATCAGCAGCTCAGCCATTCAAACAGCCACAGCCCGGGAACCTGGAAAGAAAAACAGGTGAAGATGGAAGCCCTCCAGCATCGCTGGAGGCCTTCGTTTGTAGGTAAGTTTCACATAATGTGCTATTATGCGATGCATACTGTTATGGACATTAATACTGAACATTTTATAGATAGGCAACTCCTATCCTCATATTGATTAGTGGTTCCAAATTAATAATAGCTAATGCAGTAGGAAACGGACACAAAAAGTTACACTTGGCATCTTTCCAAATCACTGTTCTATTTATTTGGCGCATTTGAAGTTTTTTTTATACACCTGATTACATAGGTATCACATTAATATTACAATTGTACTTTTATGGTAACAAGGGGCGTAACATAGACAAGCTAATTTCTAATCAGAACTTGAAGAAATGCAAATGTAATCAAAACATTATTAGTGCAGTGTGTACAATACGTAGGCAAAGCATGCAAAATAGAATCCAATTTTATACAGAATTTACAAATACTAACACATTATGATATCACCTTGCAGGGAAAACCTTTTTTTTAACAAGTTTACTACCACTTTAACTGCGTAACTATATTTAATTCTGCAACCTAGGTAAAAACTAAATTGCATTGTGTAGCTGAACATACTATACCTTTGATGGTAAATGGCATCTGTAAAATTCTACTGTCTTCTGTCTACCTTCTCTCTACGTGTAAAATGCCTCGGTGAGACTCATGACGCTAAAGCAACAAAATCATTTAGATCCATTCTGAAGTACTTGATTCTAGTGTGTATACAGTATGGCAGATTAGATATCCACTGACACATTAACTTTTAACTCTCATATACAGTGTGTGTGTGTGTTTATATACAAGGGGTTGGACAGAATGGAAACACCAGGTAAAAGAACCAAATTCTTCCCTAATATGATGCCACTCTTCATGCAGAAATCGTTCCACTTCTCGCATGGATGCGGGAGGCGAAAAATGAGCCCGAACCTTGTTCTCTAAAATTGACCATAGTGGCTCTATAATATTGAGGTCCAGTGACTGCAGCACCCAGGGAAGGTACGAGACTTTGTCTTCGTGCTCATCAAACCATGATTTGACAACACCAGCTGTGTGAATCAGAGCATTGTCTTCTTGGTAAATGGTACTTTCTTCGGGAAGCAATGCCTGCACCATGGGGTGCACATGGTCAGCCAAAATTTGTACATAGTCCCTGGCATGACCAGGGGCGAACTGACCATTTGGAAACTTGGGCACTGCCCGAGGGCCCGGGGTCAGTAGGGGGCTCCATGAGATGCCCCTGGTACCTTTTTTCATAGGCTTTTTTGAGTTTGGGCAAGGACACAGGGGCCCCATGATCCCCTATTGCCCGGGGGCCCCATGAGTTGTCAGTCCGCCCCTGGGCATGACTTTACTTTTCAAGGTAATGATGGGTCCTGCAGAATACCAAGATAAGGCTGCCCAAACCATGATTGTGCTGACACCATGCTTTACCAGTGGCACAAGACAGTCCTGGTCATAAGCTTAGGACAGTGTGTGCCACACAAACACGTACGGCGGTTGGGAACAACATGAAGCTCGATTCATCAGACCGTATTCTAGCCTTCCACTGATTAATAGTCCACAATGTATGGGTGCTTCTGAGCATTAAAGCGGAGTTGCGGTTGTTGTTTTTGTTTCTTTTTTTAAAGCACCCCTGTGATAGTGGTAGCTTATGCCTTGCAGTTTGGCATAAGCTGTACCTGTAATCGTTTGTGTTCCTATTAAAAAAAAAATTACTCACTGGACCCTCTGATTCTGCAAGGTTCCATCTTCAGTGTGGGCATCTAAAGCCCACTCGGACATTCTTCTGGGAAATGATGCTGCTGGCTACCCGGCATGCACCTCCCGATCTTGCGCCCGTGCAGTGTGAAGAAGGTGCGGTGTCTTCCTTGTATCGAAGGTTGCCATAGCAATGGCAGCGCCGGTAAAAGTTCCCGTCCCATTGCTATGACAACGATCAATCAGTCCAACAACCTGGAATGGAAGCAAGCCAGCCTTCCATGCTGCCCATTGAGTCCTGGGATTGACACATATATCCCAGGAACCAATGGGCAGACAGATATGACGTACCTAGCAACAGCGAGGTACATAGGAAGTAAAACACTTCAGCCCAAATAAAGGTATGAAACCGTAAAAAAAAGGTGCCAAACTATGATGGGGCAGCAGGAAGAAAGAGATGGGGAAAAACTTTAAAATCAAGTGGAACTCCACTTTAATATCGGTCACCAGTGGTTTGGCAATTGCTGCTCTCCTGAATGTTTTTTTTTATGGAGTTCCCTGTGCAAAGTTTTTGTAGACACGGGCTTTGAAAGACTGAGATTGAGCTCTGCAGTCCCTTTTTCAGCAGTTGTCTTCTGCGTCACCATCCTGCACAATGTCCTTTTGTCTCTTTCGGTCAGTTGATCATGTTGACTTATGGTTATCGTACGGCGTTTTCCCCCGGAAACTGTATACGCTGTCATAACCTTTGATACTGTACCTCGCAACACAGCAAATAAATTGGCAACTTCAATTACAGAGGCACCAGCTAAGCCGCCACCAACAATTTGCCCTCTTTAAAGCTCAATAAGCTCGGACATGACTCCGTATTACTAGCACCACACACAGTGAATGACGAAAGTGAGGCTTCCCACCTGTTAGCTAGGTGTCTCGTCACACAGCGGAAGCAAATCTTGTAGTGTTTCCCTATTTTTGTCCAACCTGTGTGTATATAAATATGTGCCCAGATTAGAAACACCCCCTCCCCCTGAAACCTGAAAACAGTATTGTGTTTGACATTGCAAGATAACAACATTTACATCATAGATGTAATACGTAATTGTACAGTAACATTAGAAACATTAAGGCTTCATTCATGTTAGCACTTGGAACTGTTGGTGTTTATATGCATTTATAGGACATTTCTAAAAGCATATAAATGCATGTAATGACTTTTTAATGATGTAATTCAAACTGAGCATTTACTTGCATATAGGTGCTGTCAGTTTAGCTGCGTTTAAAGAAAATAAAATGATGTAGGACCTGGATCTGATTGGAAATTTTAGGGCCCTGTTCACAATGCCAGCATGCTAAACAATCTGTTTTAGCTTGTGGGCATCTGTCTGTTTTGGCTGCAGTGAGCGGGTGTTGTGATGTGTGTTTCAGGACATTTTACAGTTTCCTGTTTCCATGAATGACATTTCATTCATGGCTCTTTCATTCGTTGCACTACTGTGCAGTGTCATGCGGTGCCTACCTATGCACTGCGGTAAAATGCTGCATGTTTGCATATTACCGCAGCTTATTGCACCACACCTTGGCTAAACTCATGCAGAAACACAGCTACACCTGCTTTAAAGCAAGAACATTTAAATGTAGGAAAAAGTAACCCGAGAAACAGAAAAGGTTGTCATGTCTGTATTTAGAAAAGCTAATCACAGGAGTGGCAGTGTGAACGAGGTGTAACTCTCCTAATTTGTGAGGTATTTCATTACAATCTCATATACACCATTTTCTAGCTTCATCAACCCCCCCGACAAGAGAACCCAGACTGAAAAAGTGAATGATCTACTAACTCAGCTGAGAGATGAGGCCGCTATTGATCGGCAGTGGAATCCAGATGCTCAGTCTCAAGGTAAAATAACGATGTGCCTTTATAGCAGTGTTTTCATATGTCTGTAGTGGAAAAATGTAATGAGCGATAAATCAGAATTTTCAGTACTGGATCTGAATAAGCAGCAATCTTTTCCTCTCCTTTTTTGTAATTTAAAAATGTGCATCAATTAATTGACACAGAAACAGTGTTCAGTCAAGGTATCAGGTTCATTTAATAAAGTCCAGTGCAGTTACTGCAATGTGAAGTAATTATAAGAACTCATCGGCACTCATCTTGTACTCTTTGGAATGACCTAATCCAGTGAAATCCGATCTGTTATTATCACTTTTTTTTTTAAAACAAAAATGTTTATTGAGTTTGCATGGCATGACCATACAAAATATGATATGCCCAACCTGGGCAGGGGCTTTTGGAGGGGACTAGCGGCTAGCCTTCTACTCACTGATTATGGCCCATGAAGGAGACTGGGGATTTTGTCTGCTTCTCCCAGTCAGAGCATGGAAAAGAGCTCAGTTCAGCCTCTGATCCCATGGAGAGGGCAGATCATCCTCTAATGATAGACAACGTTTACTGTTAATTAGATAACTGTTAGCTGTTAAATAGATTACTTGTTGATTACATCACTGTTAGATGTTGGCTGTTCATTAGATGTATAAAACACGAGCTATATGAGTGCTGGGTTGCAGTATGAGTGACGAGCTGCCAGCATAAAGAGGGAAACCTCAAAAATCCTCCAATAAAAAATCTATAAACAGGTGAAAATATGCAGCGCTAGGATAGTAATGATGAGCAAAATATATATACCCGTATTTTTCGCTCTATAAGACGCACCTGACCATAAGACGCACCTAGGTTTTAGAGGTGAAAAACAAGGAAAAAAAAATATTCTGAACCAATGGACTGCAGACACAGTACAGGGGATGACCAGAGACTGCGGACACAGTACAGGGGATGACCAGAGACTGCGGACACAGTACAGGAGATGACCAGAGACTGCGGACACAGTACAGGAGATGACCAGAGACTGCGGACACAGTACAGGAGATGACCAGAGACTGCGGACATAGTACAGGAGATGACCAGAGACTGCGGACATAGTACAGGAGATGACCAGAGACTGTGGACAGTACAGGGAATGACCAATGACCATAGACTGCGGACAGTGCAGGGAATGACCAGAGACTGCAGACAGTGCAGGGAATGACCAGAGACTGCAGACATTGCAGGGAATGACCAGAGACTGCAGACAGTGCAGGGAATGACTAGAGACTGCAGACAGTGAAGGGAATGACCAGAGACTGCAGACAGTGAAGGGAATGACCAGAGACTGCTGACCTTTGGGGAGGGAGGGGGAGCGGGTACCTGAATTTGACAGGTACCCGCTCCCACTTCCGCGGAGTTGTCCTTCCCTCTTCTTCCCGGGCCGGCTTCTATGACAGCCGGGTGCCCACTGCGCATGTGCGAGAAGCGCTGCACTTTGTGAATGGCCCGGCGCCTTCTGGGACCTTTCATGTGTCCCAGAAGACACCGGATCATTCACAAAGCGCAGCACATGCGCAGTGGGCACCCGGCTGTCACAGAAGCCAGCGCGGGAAGACTGTGCAGCGCTGGAGCGAGGAACAGGTAAGGCCCTGCAGGAGACAACAGCTGAGCGGCCGGCCCGGTATTCTGACATGGTGGCCGCACAAATACCGGACCGGCGCTTTATATTCGCTCCATAAGACGCACTGACATTTACCCCCCTTTTTTGGGGGGGAAAAAAAGTGCGTCTTATGGAGCGAAAAATACGGTATATGTTAACCTGCCCTGGATGGATGACCCCTGGTGGTTGATTCCTGCCTTGATGACCTCATCCGTGTGAAGGGTTCCATTCCCAGAGTACCAAGGAGTAGGTCTTATATACTCCAATGCACAATCATTTGTGCTATCTGGTTAGTGCAATATACACCTATTCTCACAGCCACAGTAATCACGGTTATTAGCTTCAACTTCTATATGGACTAGAGCACCATTGTCACCATTTGCACCTATGAGATTTATCTTAGACTGGTCTTTTTTACCTCGTAGCGTTGTTAAACGCCACTTTCTGATTATTACTGCATTTTTGTTTACTCGCTTCTATGTGCATATTTAAGGACCAGAGTATTATTGTCATTATTTACTCCTGTGAGAATATACCTCTAACTGGTCTTCATATCTTCTAGCGTTGTTTAATGCCAGTTCCAATACTATTGTCTTTTGCCTACTTTCATATATATATATCTATTTTGCTCATCATTGCTATCCTAGCGCTGCATATTTTCACCTGTTTATAGATGTTCATTAGATGTACTGATGATATTACCGGTTAAAGTTGCATTGTTTATGATCATGTGATCAAGCTTTTATTTGATTTTATGTGGTATAAATTCTGGGCAAATTTTCAATAAAAGGAGTTCCAGTTTGCACCTAAGCTAGTGTTGTACAGTTTGTGGGTGCAATGCCAGGTATAATACCTTGTTCCAGTGTCCCAGCGGTGGGGAAACAGTTCTCTGACTAAAGCACCCAGGCAGGGTTCCAGGTGTTTCGTCACAGTATGGTACATAGGTTGGCATATATATACACTGGGTACATTCCATGCATAGATAATCAGTCAAGAGTATATGCAGTACTTTATCTAAACAATAGTGAAACTAATCGTCGTGATATAGTAGTAGAATAGCATTGTGTAACACAGTTTCTTGGGAGGGGGGGGGGGGGCGGGAGAGGCAAGGATATAGGGGGAGACTCAGGCTAAATTAGACAGTTAGGTCTTGTGGATTAATCGGATTAGACCATATTTTGTCAAACTTTTTTTGGCCAATTCCTGCTAAGGTGGGTAAGTTTATACAATGAAAGAACCCTGTTAACTCTGTTAGAACTATAAAAAGGAGAGAGCGAGCACCATCTAAGTGCAGCAATAAAAACAAATAATTTATTTCCACAAAATTGGCAACTCACAATAGTTGTAGTCAAATGAGTGCTTGTCAAACTACTGTCAACCGCTGTGCAACTCCTGTTCGCAAAATACAATAAATAAAATACAATAAACATATAAGGAGGATATTAAGGCAAAATGATGCAACTTAGGCATGTATCATACTATGCACTATAACAGACCATAAGGGTCCTGTATGAATAAATAAATAGATATGTAAAAATAATATTGTTAATACATAAACCGGTGATTCCATATTATTAAAAATGCGTATACAAACATTTTAGATGATGATGATAATGATAATAATAATAATGCTATCTATGCCATTTTGGAAATTGAAAATAATGTGGAGCAAGAGAAAATAAAGAATAGAAAAATTATTAGAATTGTGGAAGGATGGCCAGCTACTGGAGATATTAGAAAATGGATGAAGTATGTATAAGCTAAAGCACTAGAGGGATCAAGTGAGTGGGTGTAATCGGAGGATCGCTCACTTGATACCTTTGGTGCTCTATGTACTTACATGTTTATTGTGTTTTATTTATTTTATTGGACTTTAAGAGCACTTAGTTTCATTAGGTTAAGAGAGGAAGGCTTGATATGTTTCTTGTACTAACCTATGATGACACTTGGGCCTCCCCATGAGGTGGCGCTATAGTCCGCCACTATCATTTGCCAATATATGCCCCTTCTTTGGCCTGATGAAGGAGCATGCATGCTTCGAATGCTTGCCACGCCTGCTGCTGCTGTACCTGAAAGTGACATCCACAGCGACCAGGAAGTGCTGAGAGCCATCAGCACAGCCAAGGACAGTGCATTGGAGACCTGCCTGCAGCAGAACCGGACATGAGTTGCACAGCAGTTGACACCACTGTGACAAACGCTCATTTGACTACTACTATTGTGAGTTGCCATTTTAGTGGAAATAAATTTTTTGTTTTAATTGCTGCACTTAGATGGCGCTGCTTCTCTCCTTTTCATGGTCCACACAGAGTCTCTGTTTGAATTGGCTGCTATTGAGTCAAGCATTGTTGGATTATTTCTTAACCACATTTGGACTTTAAGCACTTTACTTGTGTAGTTCATTTACTAGCCATCACATAATACATGTGGTCTTTTTCCTCTTAGTGCGCCAAATATCTCTCTTGTTAACTCTGTTAGCCTAGGTGGATGCAGCATCGGTCTGATGTTGCTTTTATTCCCGCCACCTCCAAAGGACACAGCAGCCACAGAATGAGAACCCATGCTGTAGCCGTCTTCCAACTATAGCGCAGTATTAAAGTGGTTAATTTGTATACTGTAGTAGGTACCAAGTTATTACCACTTTTAAATCATCATTGCCATGTGCTGCCACTTCAAGTAATCCTCAGAGAACTCTGGCACTCTGTTTTGTGCAATGTTAAAAAAAAGCTGCTGGTGCTTTCTGAAATAAAGCATCCCTAGTCCCCTCTACTGAGCAGTAAATCTTTTTTCATACTTCTTTTATTTCAAGGAATTGTGTACATCAGTGCAAGTATACTGGAATGACGATAGATCAAAGTCATCATAATTTACTTTAGATGTATACTGTATATAGTACAGATGTCAATACCTTCATCAGATAGAATATTTTTGTTGTATTAGTGACTTTCATAACAGGTAACTACCATTCAACTATTGTGAAACAAGGAGCAGGAAGAAAAAAGAAAGGGAAAAGAAAGAAATAGCAATCATCATGTAGCAACACGTTACTGGAAGTCATAATGAAATAAACTGTTCTATTGTATGCTTTCCTGTCCCACCAGATTTATAGTGAGTAGAGGTGCGAGTGGTTCAGTGACTCCGGGAAGCTACAAAGCACAGTTATTCCAGTTATCAATTCATTCCAAATTGTTTCACATTTTTGGTTGCAAACTCTTGCTTCATATGTCAAGCTGTATGAAGTGTTTTGAATACTTTTTTCCCCCCGTAAGTTAAGGCTAAAGAGGTCAGTATATATCCATTGGGAAAGCACTGTTTTTCTTGCATAGAACAGAAATAATATCTGATTTTTATTTATTTCAGGTACTTATATAGTGCCGTCAATTTACAAAGCGCTTTACATATATAGTGTACATTCACATCAGTCTCTCAAGGGGCGTACAATCTAAGGTCCCTAACTCACATTCATACATCTACATATTAGGGCCAATTTAAACAGGAGCCAATTAACCTAACAGCATGTCTTTGGAGTTAAGAGTTTTAAAATGTATCAATTAAATAATTAATTTATTTTTTGAAGAATTAATTACCAAGTCCTAAATATACTCTAAAAGGCACAACTTCGGGTTTCTAAATGTTAGGGATATCAAAGTGGATGGGGATAAAAACAGTAATGTGGGACCAGAAAGGTCTAACGTTGTCACAGAACCAGATCATATGTAATAAGCCACCATTATCTTTTTTGATATTTGTGGCAAATGGGTGTATACCTTTTTATACATTTGAAATAATCGGAGTGGTGTGTAATAGATTCTATGGAGATATTGTAATTGGACGAGTTTACCTCTGGCAGATATAGTGTTATCAAAAATATGAAATGAAGAATTTGTGGCAATTTTGAATCCAAAATATCTGGAATATCCTTATGCCATTGTTCTTTTAGCTTCTAGATAAGGGACTTGTTTTCTAAGACAGCAGTAAATCTGTAACTTACATTTGGCCCAGACATTAAAGCTGAACTCCAGACAAAAGCTAAATACACAGGTAAAATGCATGCAGAGATTTACACAGCTCTGTCCCACAAGGCAGTCCTGCCTGGGAGGGGAGGGGACCTGATCTTTCTCTTTTATATTTTTACTTTCACTTACTAAAATATATAGGTTATGTTTTTTTCCTACCAAAAATGTATAAATATATCCTGTCTGTTCTTATACTTTGGTATTCTGTTAGAGTTCTGTTAAAATAATAGTGATGCTATGAATAATAATAACAACTATAATAGTATACACAGTTCTCAAAGAAGCAATAACTGGACAGTAACAATTCAGAAATATCTGACATTAAAACGTTGTGCACTTCAATACTTACAGTACTTCTTAACACCACCCTGTGACTGGAAAGTGAAAGGAGAAGCAGCATAATGAAGAGCTTCTCTCTCTGTCACTCTGCTCTCTCATCCAGTTAGCATGCTTCCTGCACTGCAGCACACCTGGTTGGGTCCTTGTGCTGCTTCTTTCTCCTACTTTCAGAGCTGTGCTGTACCAGGATGTTGATACATTAGCAAAATACATTTAATGATGAATAATGATTATAGGACTGTATTACTTTGTGTCTATTGTATCTGTCTGGAGTGCAGCTTTAACTTTTATATCCACTGCTTGTTTTACAGCTCTGACAGCTCAATTCAGATATGATCAGATTTTAACCAGTGTGTTTTGAGTTAAAAGGGTACTTAAAATCTCCCCATTATCCATTCTAGCTACTGTCTGTAGTTCACTGAGCTGCAGCCGCTCATATAGACATACAGTATAGACAAGATGGTACCATCACACAATCTTCTCTCTTCTCTCTCTTCAATGTAGTTATCATTCAACTACAAGGAGTTCAGAACCGCACTGCATTGCATCAAAAATGCACTGGACACCTCTTCAAATTGCATCACATTTGCTCCGCACATGTCAACGGCTGCCATAGAAACACATTATTTCACTTGTTGTGCAAATCTTTGCTTTCAGGAATGCATCCCAAATCACATAAGTGTGAACCAGGCCTTAAAGTGGTTCTAGTGGGCAGCACAGTGGCTACATGGTTAGCATTTCCGCCTGGCAGTACTAGGGTCACTGGTTCAAATACCAACCATGGCACCACCTGCCTGGAGTTTGCATGGGTGTCCTTCCTCCCACACTCCAAAGACATGCTGGTAGGTTAACTGGCTACTGTCTCTAATTGGCCCTAGTATGTGTATGCATGAATATAAGTGAGGGACCCTAGATTGTATACCCCTTGAGGGTTGGGGACTGATGTGAATGTACAATATATATATACATATATGTAAAGCGCTGCGTAAATTGACAGCGCTATATAAGTACCTGAAATAAATAAATAAAGCCTTGCATTAAGATGAAAAACCTTTTGTGCAGCATAATCCCCCTGACCCCCCCCCCCCCCCTTATTCTTACCTGAGCCAATACAATCCAGTGATGTGCTCTCGCCATCTCCTCCCTGGACAGATTGATAGCAGCGGGAACCATTGGCAGATAGTGTCCTGGCTAGGATTTGAACTGAGCCCAGACCCCAGATTTGCAGTTTTCATCATTTGTCAAGTCTCTATTGCCCAAAATTGTTACAGATTTACTTTATGTTGACCTTGCATATTTTAATAAAGTATTCCATTTGTATAAAGCATACTATGTATTTGGTAGAGAACACTTGATATGTGCTTTTTAATATTTTACTAATGTTTGTTAATGTATTTTTGTAATACAGACTTCAGTGTACCATCTGTTAACAATCTGAATAAAGATGATCAAGTAGACAGCCAAACTGGCATTAGTCATGAACTAGATGCAGAATATTTAGAGAGGGAGAAGGAACGGATTTTAAGAGAAGCTGCAGCAGAACTGCAAGATGAGAATACCAGACAAGAGAAAATGCTGGAAATTGCAAAAAGACTTGCAGCGCTACAAGGCAAAGATCCTGACAAAGGTAACAAATCCTAAAAAGCCAATTGTTCTGTTCAAAATATTTTTTGTATAGTTGATTTAGGCTATTTGCTTTTTAAGCATTCATAAAAGGTGTTTGAAGAAATATTTACTAGCTGTAAATAACCATTAAAGTGTACCTTCACTTAGGGAGCAAGATAAGTAGCACTTGTACTTCTAACACGTTTGAATGTTTTTTTTTTTATTTTGAGTGGGTAACTTTTAACTTTTTTGACAGGTACCTATTCCCATTTTTTTATTTTTCACTTAGGCAAGAATTACCTCATTCACTCTACCACCAGCCTCCTTGGACATATACCAGGAGGCTGCAGGACCAGCCTCTCTGCACCACATGATCTCACACAAGTGGGGAGGCAGCTGATTTCTTATAAAGCTACAGCCGGCTCCCAAATCTAAAATGGCAGCGCCAAGGACCCTATTTGTTCCTATTACTTGTTCTATTATTCCTATACAAAATTAAATGTACTATTTTTAAATGAATACATAATTGAATCAAATGGTGTTTTTAAGTCTGTTGAGAGTTTCCTTTTAGTTACACAATTTCAGTCAAAATGTCACTCATTTGTCAGTTTCAGTTTGGTTTTTTTTTACTTTACAGTAACTGTGGACAACATCAAACTTCCTGACAGTGATGAAGAAACAGAGGAAGAAGGTGTTCAGAGAATCCTGAAGCAGGTGAGACTCTGTGAACTCTCTCAGCTCCTGAGTAATCCTAGGCAATACTGTCCTCTGGATAATACTGGGTACAATCCTGACACTGTATTGGAAAGTACATGGTAACCGAAGGGAGAAATCGCTGAATGCTCACAGTTAAATGAGATAACCATGTCAATGTGCAGTTCTCTGGTGTTTCTCATTTTTTGATGTTATCACTTCTTTTCCTATCTGTGTGTCCACCCTTGAAAGTCATTAGTGCTGACATACACTTCTATACAGGCTGTAAAGGAAGAACTACTCAGCAAAAACTGATCACAGGGGGCTTTATTTGCTCACGTTTTGTTTAATAAAACCATCTGTATTGCATCACAGTAATCAATCAGATTTAAACTTTTTTTTCTCTAGTTGACATTTGGCTGTGAATGGTGGGATGTGTTGCAAATGCTATATAGATATGTGCTGCATTCTTCATACTTTCTCTGTACAGTCTTTCATTGCTTGTGGCAGAAACAATTGAGTACTGTCCGTGATACTTTTTTTATTTGCATGTTTACAGCTGGCTGAAGAAACTGCTCTGGATGAGGCAAGTGGCTACAATATTCCCCCTGAACATGGTAGAATGGAAGATACCAAGAGAAGTGTTCCAGTAGCAAAGAAACTTCCTTCATCCCAAATGGTATGTTTTAAATGTACTAAAGTCACGACTACTAAGGATGCACTGAAATTTCGGGCTCCGAAACATATCAGCCAAAAATAGCCCTATCAGCATTTTGCCGATAAGAAAAATGTATATAGTGTGCATACCTGTCATCATGGGCTGTGTTTGCCCCCAACCCAGGGGTTCATTTTAAAGCTGTTAACAGCCTAGAACCAAATGAGCTCAAAGCCCGAAGTTTCAAAACTTGCTCTCCAACAGGGGCTATTTCTTAGACCTTTTAGAAGAACAAAAAAGATTATCTTGCCCTGATTTGGTCTGGCCCTCTTTTCTTTGTTTTGATGATTTGAGATACATATAAAGGGAGTGTATGCATATGGCGGTGGGGAACACTTTGGCCGCTTATGATTGGCTCAGTGCAACCAGTACAATGACAGCCTCCTGGCAGGCTGTCTCACATGGGTTTGGACTATTATCCGAATGTGCCCGAGCTCATCCTTGATCATAACTTACACTTGTAGTCTCTGCTCTCAGTGCATCTAAATGGGTGGGAGAGCAGAATGATTTGTAGACACAGGCAGAAAGCAAATAAATGCAGATGAGGATCTCTGGAACAATTCTAAGGTATTTATGGGGACCAAATTTACACAGAAGTTTAATGAAACAAGATGAAACAATAGGGAATTGATACGTAAAGCATATGTATTTTTGTTTTTTTGCTGTAGTTACACTTTATTCTTCAATAATACCCTGAAGCTTTTTAGTTTTGTCTTTCTAGCTTCCCTCTGCTTAGAATATGTTCTGTTTTCATCAAGTCTGGCATGAGAGAAATACAGTATAAAGGCTGCCATTGCTCTCTTTCTGAAGTGCTAGGTCCTTAGCTTCAGTGATTGAAAAAGTAATGAAACATGGGAAAGTCAGGTAATTCAGAAAGAGGTCAGTGATGGCAGACTTCGTTTCTTTCAGTATAGGTTTCCTTTCATTAGTGCAATATTACTTTTGGCCACTGGATAGCGACCTGTAACAGAAGTGGCTGCAGGGAGTGTCCTATGCAGTGGTTTCTCATTATCAATAGACATTGGGGTTGATTTACTAAACCTGGAGAGTGCAAAATCTGGGTCAGCTTTCATTGAACAAGCTGGAGTTAGAAGCTGATTGGATACCATGCTGCACCAGATGATGCACTCTCCAGTTTTAGTAAATTAGCCCCATTGCCTTAAATGCAGGCACCTTTGTTATAAATAGCACACAATGTTACAAATGTCCTCTGGTTTTCATATTTTTAATTTATAGTATTGGTGGATTATATTTTTGCTTCATATACAAGTGCTATTCATCATTTTGTGTAATCTCTAGCAGAAATAAAATCTCCTAAATTGTTTCACACCTCGGTTATTATTATTATACAGTATTTATAAATCGCCAATAGTTCGCTCAGCGCTGTACATTACAAAGGGGGACAGAACAGTAACAATATGCAAAACATGAGGGGATCGAGGGCCCTCCTCTTTTGAGCTTACAATCTAGGAGGGAGGGGATGGTGGCACAGGAGGAGAAAGCTGTGGGGGATGGAGTGGTAGGAAGAGTGAAGGTCATCGGCAAGTTAGCAGGGGGTGGGGTAGGCTTCCCTGAAGAGATGGGTTTTCAGGGTGCGCCTAAAGGAGAGGAGAGTAGGTGATAATCTGATGGGTTGGGGCAGGGAGTTCCAGAGGATGGGTGACACCCTGGAGAAGTCCTGGAGGCGGGCATGGGAGGAGGAGACCAGAGAACTAGAGAGAAGAAGGTCTTGTGAGGAGCGGAGTGTGCGTGCTGGGCGGTACTTGGATATTAGGTCGGTGATGTAGTTCGGGGCAGTGTGGTGGACAGCTTTGTATGTCAGTGTTAGGATTTTGAATTTGATCCGTTGCACAATCGGAAGCCAGTGGAGGGATTGGCAGAGGGGGGTGGCGGAGATGGAGCGGTTGGAAAGGTGAATGAGTCTGGCAGCCGTATTCAGGATCGACTGAAGTGGGGATAGCCAGCGGCGAGGCAGGCCAGTGAGGAGGGAGTTGCAGTAATCGAGTCGTGATATGATGAGGGAGTGGATGAGCTGTTTAGTGTTTTCTGGGGTTAGGAACGTGCGGATTTTGGCGATGTTGCGGAGGTGGAGTCAGCATGAGTTTGTTAAAGATTGCACTTGGGGCTGGAAGGATAGGTTGGAGTCCAGAATGACACCAAGTACTCTAGCCTGCGGGGCGGGTTTGATGGTGGCGTTGATTGGACATGATAGAGAAGTCAATGGGGGGTGGGGTCCGGGCTGGGGGGAAGACAAGAAACTCGGTTTTGGAGAGGTTCAGTTTAAGGAAGTGGAGCAACATCCAGTCTGATATGTCACTCAGTAGGTGTGTGATTCGGGCGGAGACTGAGGGGGTGAGGTGGGGGGTTGAGAGATAGATTTGTGTGTCGTCGGCATATAGGTGGCAGTTGAAGCCGTGAGAGTGTATGAATTGGCCAAGGGAGGAGGTGTAGATGGAGAAGAGAAGGGGCCCGAGGACGGAGCCTTGAGGGACCCCAACAGAGAGGGGGAGTGAGGGGGAGGTGGTAGCATTATAGGTAATGCTGAAAGAGCGTTGTGACAGGTAGGATGAGAGCCAGGAGAGAGCAGAATCTCTGAGGCTGAGGGAGTCTAGTTTTTTGAGGAGGAGGGGGTGGTCGACTGTGTCGAAGGCCGCGGAGAGGTCAAGGAGTAGGAGCACTGAATAGTGGCCATTAGCTTTGGCGGTTAGCAGGTCGTTGGAGAGTTTGAGTAAGGCAGTTTCGTCGGAGTGTAGGGGACGGAAGCTGGACTGTAGGGGATCGAGGAGGTTGTTGTCGTTGAGGTGAGAGCTTTGGCGGGTGTAGACTAGGCGCTCGAGGAGTTTGGATGTGAATGGGAGCAGGTTATGTCATTCTGGGTAACAACAGGCTCATGTGCATGACATAATATTAAATAAAGTATGGAGATTAGACTACCCATAAGGGAAAATTTCCTCCAAGACACTTGCAAAAGCAGTGAAATGTTTTCAACAATAATCTAGTTGTGTTTGGTTTACTGGCACATGATGTGCTATAACCTGAATGATGGACACATTTATAGACACACTCCTAAATTCCTCATTTACACTCTAGCTACGCACACACACACCCAACCTCCACCTCCACCACCGACATGCATTCCGCTCCATTATACAAGGATCCAGAAGGCATGTCAGAGATCTATAACTAAAAATGATTCTAGTGCCTAAAGATAGAACCGCCTGTGTTTCCCTTATACATAACAATTAAAGCAGTATTAAACTCAAAAACAAACATTCATTATATTGCAGCTTTTTTCCTTAGGCTTTTTTCCTTTATTTTCATCTAGTGATCTGGTCACTTAGTCTGTTTTTCAAAAGAACAAGCTCTCTTGCAAATGTAGCAGTTAGAGTGTTTGGTTTTGACAAACCATTTACTACTGACAGCGGTGCAATCAATGATCAGCTTTTATTTATTCATGTAAAACCTTCATCCCAAAAGGAAAAAAAAACTGTTGCTGTAACTGCTTTTGTAACTGCAGTGTGAGTTTGGCTTCAGTTTGTTAGTGTATCTAAATCTTCTAGTCCATATAACACCCCCCCCCTTCTTTATCAGATTAACAATGCTGCTGTCTGCTGTGCCCCTTCATCCAGAATGGGGGCACTGTAACACAGGAGGTGTGTTAATGGCCAGATCACAAGTTGAAAACCGAGGTAAAAAAGCCTAAAAAAAGAAAACCAATGCAGCCACCACTTCTAAGTATTAGTAAACTGTAATATATTACATTTTTGGTTTTGCGTTTCATACTGCTTTTATTGACTATCTAGTTTCACTTTCCTGTCTGCACTGGAAAATCTAGCTAAGATTTGGCTTAGTTATTATGAGCAACAGACAATTCAAGCTGATAATCTGATACAGTGGCAGTTGTTTTTTTCTTTCCAGAAGACTAGAGTTGGCTATTAGTATGATGAAAGCGAAATTAAAGCCAAAACCAAAAATGTGATATATTGCAATTTATTATTTTTCTTTTTTTAGGCCTTTTTTCCTGCTGTTTTCACCTGGTGATCTGGTCACTAAAGCCAGTCATAGACAGTTTGATCCATGTATGGGCAGGCTGAATGATCGATCAATCAATTTGGGTACAGCCATCCTGTCTGATTTTACATGCAATTATTGCTAGCAGCTATCAGCCACTAGCAGTAATCAGTGTGTTCTTCTGGCAGGGATGGCTCCGCCCCCCACCCCACCCCCACCAGGAGAACACAATGGCTCCACGGGAGGGATTCCCCCATCAACACTATTCGTGTTGAAGGGGGAATCAAGCGGTTTTTCCAGTCGTTGCAGGAAAGAAAAACGCTCCGTCTGTGGACGGCTTTAAACATTTCCTGACTTAGTGTGCCTACGCTCTGGTTGATGAAGGATCAGAGACACATTTGAGTAGCAGCATTGTTAATCTGGGGAGAGGCGTGTTAGATGTACTAGCAGATTTAGATACAGTTACAAATTGAAGCCAAACTCTAGCCAACACTGCAGTTACAGTACCAGTTGTTTTTTTTTTTTTTTTTGGGGGGGAGGGAATAAAGGTTTTACATTAATAAATAGCTCAGCACCCCTGTCAGCGTTACAGGGTTTGTCTTAACATCAGAACAAGCTGTCCTGCAGATGTAGCAGTTTATGTTGAAAAACAACAGATTTACTGACTAGATCATCAGATGAAGATAAAGGAAAGAAAGCCTAAAAAGAAAACTAACACAGTCATCACATTTAAGAATTGGTATGCTGCAATATAATAAATGTTTGTTTTAAGGTGAATTTTGAGTGAAATCCATAAGAGAGGGAGGTCCCAGGCAGGGGCATTGCTTTGTATATGTCCTGAACAATAAAGTTTTATCACTCTAGAGATTTTGGTGTGCAGACGGTCCCTTTCTGTTTTGTAGTTATTGGCACAGCCTCACAGAAACAGAATAAATGACGGGACCATTCACATGTACCAATCAGATACAGCAGCTGATTCAGCTGAGTGCTGGGTCACTGATAAGAACACATCAAGCCCCTTCATATAGCCACAATTGTTTCACAAGACCACACACCAAATAAAATTAATCACAAAACAAATGAACACAAAATGGCTTCAGCTGGCTCTCCACCCATCAGGAAACCCCCTCTAATACATTTCATCCATATAGGGGCTTAATCATAGAGGCCTTTTATGTTTTGTGATTCACTACATTGGTGTGTGGTCCTGGGAGACGTTTGTGCTTATTGGTTCAGTCTGTTTCATTTGTCATCATTTTGTAGACCTTTGCACCATTTTAGATGTGTGTTTTGTGTTATTCATTTTTCATAATCATTTTTCAGCCTAAACGACCTGCACAGAATCAACCTGCTAGACCCACAGTTGTAAAAGCACAAGTAGCAGATAGTGATGAGGAAGAGCTGCCCTGGTGCTGTATCTGTAATGAGGATGCCGTCCTGCGCTGCCACGGTTGTGATGATGATCTCTATTGTAAGAGATGTTTCAGGTACTCTTCTATCCACTATCACCATTCAAGTTTTGTTTACTGGAAATGCCACATTCTGTAATGCTATTGTTAAAAAGAAAATGTCAAATTCTGATTTATGGCCTTGGCTACTGAAGCCACTATTCCCTTCTTCACGATTAGGACTCATTAACACAGGTGTCTTCATCAGTACAGCCTTGTAGAGGGGCATGTTTATCGACCTAGGAGGGACAGATGCTCTATACAGTTGCATGCAACCAGCCTGTTGTCACAGGCTGACATTCGCTCAGATCTTCACTGATCTTCAGGCACATCTGAGTGTACATCAGTGTTGGACCAATGCACGACTCTCAGCACAGTCTGCCTGTGTTCAGAGTTGTACATTGGTCCTCCATGGATGCACACTTAGGAATGTGCTTGAAGTTCAGTGAATATCTGAGCAACTGTCAGCCTGTCAATGATTTTAACAGGCTTGCTGCATAGACCACCTGTGCCTCCTGGCTGATTAAACATGGCCCTCTGCATGGTTGTACTGATCAGTGTGTCCATGTGAATGAGCCCTTAATAGTTTTTTTTTTATTCCATATTAGTGTTGATAATGTTTTAAATTTTTTTCAGGCAAGTAACCTTCATTATTCATTTTACTGCTGTTTTAGGGAGGGACATGACAAGTTTGACAAGAAGGAGCATCAGACATCCATATATCGCCCACCACAGAAGAAAAAAGGGAGATAGTATTATTTATGTTTCCAGGACTTCACCTGTGCTTTCTGAGAGGTTTTCTACAGATGTACAGCATGTGCCTTCTGTTCCTTATATTGTTCTGCGTGTCTGTAGCCTGCAAAATGTTCACATATGTATTTATTTCTTGTTTCATTGTAACTTTTCTTTCTTTTTTGGAATAATTCCCATCCTTTAAACAAATCCTGTTGTCAAATTAAAAATTGTTGGTAAAAGCACACAAAAATCATATATTTCAAATGCTTACCTGCAGCATTTTTCCTTTCCATAAATTATTTTTTATTCGTTTGCAAAGTGCCTTTGAACTTGCTAGAAAATTTGACTACTCTAGGAAGGTGTATTCTCTAGAACAGCCCTGTCCCTCTTTGCATGTCTCAGCCATTTTCTTTTCCGGGAGTGTCTAATTGCTCTCTATGCTGACCCAGCTACTTTGTTGCTCTCTTCACTTCTCTACATAATTTTTGATTTAGCTGCTGGGCGAGGAGTGAAGGGGAATACTATATAGTGTCAATTGAGTTACAGCTCGGAATCTGTTGTGGTTGCTCGCATCACATCCAGGATGGTAGAGCTCTGCATTAGTCTTCGGTCAGTTATAAGGTTTACATAAGGGGGCTTTTACAGGTAAGTAATATGCATGAGATACTGTATGTCAAATGCACATATAGTCTTGTGTCAAACGTTTTGTTGAAATTGATGGTCTCTATAAAAAGACACTCAAGTTAAAGTATTGTGGCATAAAGAAAGGCTTGAAAATTAATTCAAAATCTGGAGATATGAACACTTTAGTATGGGTCAATTTGGTTAAAATTGATAATGTGTGTATCAGGATTACTTACTGAACACTTCTCTGCTGTTTCAGAATTATGCCAAGGCTAGGTATACTGTATAAGTATGGGGCCTAGTAACTGGGATCAACCTAGATTGATTTCAAGATGGGAGGACTAGGAGCTCTATGCTTATATTGTAGTAAATAATATGTGCTGAGAGAAATACAGTGGCTTCCATTGCTTTTTTTTTTCCTTCTGAAAATAAGCATCTGGATGTCATGCCTCAAACTTGCCTTATGTTAGAGGATTGCCATTGTTAGTCAGTGATCTCTCTTTTTTTTGTAGCTGTAAGGGACCAATAATGGTTTTGGGTCAGCTGTATTTTAGTTGTTTATATATTTTTAATCCATTTTATAAATACAATTCATAAATTTAAAACATGACAAAGGATTCCCAGAGCATTATGAGTCTGCTAGTCGGCTAAAGCATGGCAGATGCTTCGTGCTTTTGTTTTGCCTTACTGAAACTTTTGAATTAGGCTTTCTGAAAGGGACAAGTCACTGTGAAGAGTAATTGTTCTGATGATTTGTGTGTGTGTGTGTGTGTATCAAATTCAGCATCAGCTATTGGGGTCTGTAAACAACAAGCAATCTGAGTGTCTGGAAAAGTTGCATAAAGCTCCACCTGTTGGCTTAGAAGGAGAATGCCAAAGATTAATACACATACTTACCCCCCTTCCCGCCGATGCAACATTTGTGAGCTGTCATGTGAAATCTTTCCCTAGTCTTCTTCCAGCCTCAGCACCTTTCGCAATCTTGATTGGCCGGCCTATGGTGATGTAACTTCTGCACATGCGCAAAGGAGTTAATTGATCTCAGCATGCTGAGAATGTACAGTAATGGGCATCTTAGTGTACATTCTAAAGAAGTTTGCAGGCCAGAAGATTTTATTTCAGAACAGACATAGTGGGGTTTATTTACTAAAGCTGGAGAGTCCAAAATCAGACTCCCTTCTGCATAGAAACCAATCGGCTTCTAACCTCAGCTTGTTCAATGAAGCTTTGGCAATGAAACCTGGAAGCTGATTGGTTTCTATGCAGAAGGGAGTCTGATTTTGGACTCTCCAGCTTTAGTAAATAAACCCCAGTATGTCTCTTTTGAAGTAAAAAAAACCCAAAACTTTCTGCTCACAATTTTTTTTTCTATAACTTATAAGGTATTCAAGCAGAGAATTAGAATGGCAACCCGGCTATTAGCATTTTTAGAAGCAGGTAAGCAGCAACAGTCTCCATAGTCTGTCAACACACTAATATGTAAACTTGATTACCTTAGATAATGTTAGTTACTGTTTCAGAATAAATTCTTAGTGATTATAGTCTAACCACGTACATTTTTAAAGCCCAGTTCCATGCAAAAAGTCAATTTTTGTCAGTAATTAGTGAACCTTTGTCAGAGTTGTGTGTTGTAATCATCTGGTCCCCTCACCACCCCTCTGTAGTTCATAAGCTGTTTGTGTAACCACAGTAGTGTGTGATACAGTGTGCCCCTCTTTCCTCCTTCATCACTACCTCTCTGCAGTAGGCAGGTGGGCATTCCATAACATGATGGGGAACTGCCCAAGGAACACCCATAAATTCACCCTCTAAGTCAGTCATATTTTGTGTACTCATAGGAAATTAAGTTTTCATTGTATGAGGAAGAGAAGCTAGCAAGTGACATGCGCTTCAGCGTTGAATCCTCCCATCAGTGCCAGAGGATGATAAATTATGTGCACATAGTGATGATATCACAGGAAAGGATTACATATCTTGGAAAGTAGTGTGTCCAATCACAAAATGCATGCAGCGTTTTTTATGGGGAAATATATAGTAATGATTCAGTAAGAAAGCAGATTAATCTTAAAGTTGGTCTTTAGATCTCAGCAATTACATTGAATATATATTTGAGTTTCTGAACAGTACAAAAAGAAAAGGGGGGGGGGGAGTAGATAATGAACAGCAACTCTACAATAGAGAAGTATATCACAGTATAAGTGTGTAAATGTAGGCAAACAAAGGTGATATCTGGAAGAGTCATCTTGGGGTGTAACTGAGTCCCCAGGGGCCTTGATAGAAAATCATGCCAGGCATGTACATCAATTAAAAACAAGCTATGGGCCCACCAGGGAACCAAGTGAGAAGTAGAGGGGGATAAGGACCAAACAAAAATGAGGGAGGGGAAGAGAGAGAAGAGGGGTGGAAAGAGGGGAAATGGATCCGGACTGACAAATTATGAGCTATGAATAAACTTATGTAAAGTGACAAAGAAAAACTATCCTGCCAAGGATGTGAGCTAAATATTGCAGGCCATCAGGGTCAGCAGAACAGATGTCCAAAGGATGGTGTCTAAGTCCCAAGAACATTGAGGGAGGAGCTCCCAACAAGAGCAGACTCTGAGAAAATCAATGAAGAAGCAGGTTTTTTTAATTTATGGAAGGTAGAATAATGCATCCATATGTACCACAAAGTGGTAAATTTGTCCCAAGTGTCCGTTTCTCTCACTTGCATCTCCTCCATCAGCAAGCAATTTAACTGTGAACCTGTAAACCAGTATCCATATAAAGTTCTCAAAAGTTTGCATACCTTTGGAGAATTGGTACTAGTATGTACCATTTTTAAAGAAAACATGAGTGAGCAGACAAAACACCTTTCTTTTATTTCTTATGGGATTCATATTCAACTGTAGGTCATACAGAATGGCACAATCAAAAAACAAAACATGGCAACAAATAAAATAACCCCTGTTCAAAAGTCTGTATACCCTTAGTTCCTAATACTGTGTATTACCCCCTTTAGGACCAATGACAGCGTGCAGTCTTTTGTGATAGTTGCCTATGAGGCCCCAAATTCTTGCAGATGGTATAGTTGCCCAATTATGTTGGCAAAATTCCTCCAGGTCATTCAGTGTCTTTGGCTGTCTTGCATGAACTGCCCGTTTGAGATCTCCCCAGAGTGGCTTGATGATATGCATGTCAGGAGTTTGTGATGGCCACTCCAGAACCTTCACCTTTTTTTGCTTCAACCACTAGAGGATCAACTTAACCTTGTGCTTAGGGTCATTGTTGTGCTGGAAAGTCCAAGAGCATCCCATGCCCAGCTTTCCTGCAGAAGAATGCAAATTGTCTGCCAGTATTTTCTGATAACATGCTGCATCTTGCCATAAATTTTCACAAGATTCCTTGTGCCCTTAGAACTCACACCCCCCAAAACATCAGTGGGCCACCACCATGCTTCACAGTGGGGATGGTATTCTTGTCGTTATAAGCCTTGTTGACCTTCTTCAAACATGGCGCTTATGGTTGTGTCTATAAAGCTCTATTTTGATCTCGTCACTCCAGATTACAGTGTGCCAGAAGCTGTGAGGCATGTCAAAATGTTGTTGGGCATAATAAAATCTGCCTTTTTATGTGGCATTGGCACAATAAAGGCTTCTTTCTGACAACTCAACCATGCAGCAATTTGTGTTTAAGTATTGACAGTTTGTACTCCTTGAAACAACCACGCAAACAATTCTTCTGGCAGTGGTGGCTGCAGTCTTTCTTGGTCTGCCTGACCTTGGCCTGGTATCAAGAGATCCCCAAATTTTCCACTTCTTACGTGATTGAACAGTACTAACTGGCATAGTCAAGGCTTTGAATATCTTTTCATATCCTTTTCCATCCTTATAACATTCCATGACCTTGTTACGCAGGTCTTTTCACAGTTCTTTTCTGCTTCCCATGGCTCAGTATCTAGCCTGACTATTGACTACACACAGACACTAACTGCAATTTAAAAAGCCACAGATATGGGAAATGAACCTTTAATTGCCATTTTAACTTGTGTGTGTGTCACCTTGTGTCTGTACCAAGGCAAAACATTCCAGGGTGTTTAAACTTTTGAACAGGGTCATTTGGGTGATTTCTGTTATCATTATGATTTAAAAAGAACTATGTGATAATAAATGGCTGCAAATGATCACTATCCTTAAAAAAGACAATTTTTGGGCATGATCAGTCATGTTTGCAATATCAATGCCAAAATTTAACAATTTCTGCCAGGGAATGCAAATTTTTGAGCGGAACTGTATGTGTACAGTATGTTTACAAACCTGACTCTTGATTCTAAGACCACATTCACATGGGCATCGAAATTCATGTGTCCAGATGTGTTGGGAGCTTGTTTCTAAAGGCATCTGGAAGCAGTGGCTC